AGTGTTATCCCAGTGACCCAGGAACCAGCTCACTCTTCCTCAGTGACTGCATTTAGGGAGCAGAGCACTGTGCATGGACAGGGAAGTTTCAGATGCCAACGCGCATCCTCTGAAGCACACTCTTGTGAGCACGGCCTTGGCTTCACCCACTCCTCTGGGGCCATGCTACCACCTCCCTGCTCCCCATCGACACAGAAAAGTCCGGCTGCACTTGTGCAAAAGCTGCACTTGAGGAACCTGACTCAGCACAGAAGTGGTTCTGCTGAAGCACACAACAGAAATTGCTGGTTAAAAGCAGCAGAAAGCTGCCTTTTATCTAAGCCCTTATTTTATGGCACGTTCCACTCATCTGCTGTGGTTTCCTTCCCTGTCCCCCAGCAGCTGCAAAATACTTGGTGGTTTTAGGCAAAATACTTGGTGGTTTAGTGTTCCTTTGATTCTAGGGTTTAGCCCTTCCTAACCTGGCTTTGCAGGAGGCAGGGAAGCATTTTCCTCCATCATTTATTGAAGTACCCCAAAGCTATTTCCTCTCTATTGTTTCCTTTCCTCCTGCTTTTCTTGTTCCTCCCAGGCAGTGTAAAGTGACCTTCAGAGAATACTCATAATACACCGAAGATAGGCCTCTTCTCCCAAACACCCACGCTGTGTGCTGATATGGCAGTCTCAATTCAGAGTTAATAGTCCTGTTCTCAAGTGCTGCTGGGTTTAGGGTAATAAGCAAAGCAGGATATGTAGGAGATGTAATGCCAAAAAATACTACTCCTAGTGAAACTGGCCTTGTTTTTATCAACCCATAGCTGTTTTCTGAACCCTGCTGAGCTCCTCGTCTCCGCACACGGTGGCAGCAGGTTCTGCACACACATGGAGGAGCTGCAGGTATCACTAAGATGCATCTCGAGCCCTTCCTGGCTGCCTGCATGAGGCCTGGCCCAACAGCAGAGCTCTGGAACACAGCAGGAAGCAAACAGCAAAGTCCTCCAAGCTTCAAAGTCCATATTGTCCTAACTGCTCTGCCAAAGGTTGTGTTAAGAGACGCCTTGGGTGTTGCCAGGCCCAGAAACCAGGCTCTTTCTGTGCCTCATGGAGCTGGGGAAGGCAGGAGCCTTGAATTCCAGTCCCTGCTCCAAGCACCACTGACCTGTTTCAATGAAATGTGCTTAATTTAGGGAAGAAGGAGCATGAATGTCACCTCTTCAAGGGATGGCTACCCAGGACCCTACCCAGGTCAGCTCAGCTGGTCTCACAGCCTCCTCCTGCCACTGCCTCCTAGTCCTCTCTGTAGAGCTCCAAGTCCCATGTGCCAACTGAGACAAGGAGGCACAAAATGTAATCAGTTCGAAGTAATGTTAAGTTTGAGGGCTTTGTAATGGAAAATAACTGAAGTGCTTGAAGGTAGTTGGCATAGCTTCACGTCCTTAGGACCTTAACACAAAAGGTGTAAGAAAAGCAGAGTAAAAAACTGGACCTGGGGATGGGGAGTATCTGGGACTAGCAGATGTCCAGGATGGGAGCAGTTAAACTAACTGATAAGTAGGACAGGATGACTGCTATGTCTGTAATGTTAATTAAGGTGATTATGAAGATTGTTGGGAAAAGTGAACGACCCTTAAAGACCATCACATTTTGTATGCATGACATAAACTTTCTGGAAAATGATGTAACATGCCCAGTGACCATGTAAGGATGGCCTGCATGGCAATATGGGGACACACGTTAGGAGAAGCTCTCCCCCGGGCCTCCTGGCGCCACAATAAAGAATACCTGCTTGTCAGCTTGAAACTCTGTTGGCGAGTTTGTTCCTGGAGTTCTCTTCAAGTCACAGCCCAGCAGCCCCAGAAAAGCAGCTTTAGACTAAGGGAGCAAACTGAGCAGCCCCAGCAAAGGGTTCAGAAGGGTTATGGGGGAGAGAAGAGAGCAGGGAAGTGAAGGTATCAGATGTGCCAATGCCAGCCTAAGTCGAGACCATAGTTTTGGGATCTGAATGAGTCTCAACAGCTGAGTCAGAATGGAGCAACATCTGTTTTTAACTATCCTAAATACATTTCTATTTATAAGCAATCAAACAGGCATGCCTTAAACCCCAGCTGGGAAGCAATAGCCAAAATCAGTCTTATTGGTCCCCTCCCAAAAGCAGCCCTGAAGCAAGGCCCCAAGGGCTCGAGGGTTTGTGTCCTGCCCTGCACAGCCGTCACCCACCTTGGGGCTGGGATTGCACTGCACAAGGGCTGCAGGCCTGTTGCTATTCCCTCTTGGCAGTGCTACAGCTTAGCACCAAATGGGCCAGTAGAGTTTATGCCACCCCTTCTGTGGAAGAATCCATTTTCAAATTCATTTTAAAGCAGCCTACACGTGGAAATAAAGGTTTCTTCTTGTTGATGCTAATGAAAGATGCACTGCAAGATGAGCACTAATGGGTCTTGTTTCAGTTCTTCCCATACCTGAAGGTTGGCTCTCGCCTCCTTTCTGCAGGCAGCTGGAAAAGCTTCACACACTAGATAAGGACAGAACAGGCAGGAGGTAGGTAAGCAGCAGTGATGATTTGTAAGACCATCCAGATTTTTATTAGCTCTCACAACACCAGAACTGTTCAGCCCTTCATTAGATGCTCCCCTTGCTGCCTGTTGCACAAACACAGCACAACTCCCCCCAAGGCGTGGTTTGCTGACTGCAGACATTCTGTCTCTCAGTAGCATCCCAGTGGAATTGCCAGGGCTGGAATTCCACCAACTGATGTCACCTTTTTCCTCTCTGCCATTTCCTTCCTCCTCTCATAGTTCTCAGTCACCTCTCAGGATATGGATTAACTCAGGAGGGGCAGCCTGAGCATCAGCAGTTGAACTGCAGAGCTCTGCAGCTTCCTTCACCAGCACCAGGTCCCTGCTGGTGCTACTTGGACTTCATGGGTGCCTCTTGTGGCTTCGCCAAGTTGCAGCAAGCCAAGATCTTACCCAAGACTAAGAGATCCCAAGATCTCATGGTACAAAAGCTTCCTCTCATGGATTCCCAACAAACTGTACATTTCTTCTTGGCATTTCCACCATCTGTGTGATCCTACCTTATATTTAAGAGCCAGCAAAACCCAAACCTGGATCCACTGGAGGATGCATCCATTCAACACATCTGCCCACTGAAGAGCAAGCATTTTCATTACCCACCATCACTGAGCAATGCTGCACTGCACCGGAGTCAAAGTTCTGCAGTAATGATGGGAAAACCTTTGAGCCGAGATCTCTCACCACCATCTCAGCTCCATCCCAGTGCCACCCACTGACTGCTTCCCAGTATCAGGAATCCACATGTTTCAGAAGTGTCATTTACTCAGCATTAGTCAAGCTGATACCCACAAACCTCTTGGGTGCTTTCAAACAGAAATTACTGTGCAGCACATTTCATACGAGTATCACTATAATGTAGGTGCTACGGGTCAAACCCTTCCTTAACACACAACAATCCAAGTGAAATGTGAAATTTAAGCAATGTGATCCTATTGTTTCGCTGTGCCTGTGCAGAACCCAAAGGAAGCTCTCTGGCCTTTCTATGTACATGTCCTTGATGGGTATGTTCAGTTACTGGGCTTAGGGATAAGGACAGGGAGGGCAGGAGGAAAGCAGCACGGTTTTCATGTCAAATGTGTATGTGACACGTTTAGTAAGGATACAGCACAGGACTGGTCTCCTACTCAAGTTGATAGCCTTAATCTCCACCCTATGGAGCTGCCTCTCTTCCTCCCCTGCCCACAGCATGGTTCCAGAACAGCCAGCATCTTGGTGTTCTGCATTAAGGCATCTCCCAAGTGCACTGGGAGAAGGAAGGATTTGTCTCTCCCTCACCCACCCTGCAGATGTCTGTCTGGAAACCTAACTGGGGCTGCACCTGCCTTACAGACCCCTGCCAGCAAAGCTGAGTTGTGGAGCAATGAGGCTGTTGCCACAGCCCTGTGCCAACAACACTGCTAATCTTTAAGTACAACCATTCTCCATTCTGGGGACAGGAACAACTTCACCATCCCAGTGCAATGACAGCTGTGCCTTTACAGTGGCACTGGTACTGACAGTGTTTATTGAACAGGGTACTGCTGCACCTCCTGCAGTAAGGCATGGCCTGACCCAGGGTGATCAATGGGAAGCTGCTGCATTATTCACATGGGGGGAGGGCTGCAATTAGAGAATGGACCACAGTTACCAAAAGTTAAATACAGTGAGAGCCACGGCTGCTGCATCCTCCTTTGATCTGCAATTAGCTTTGTGCCCCTATTAAAAGGCAGAGACCAGAACTGGACACAACACCCCAGCACTGCTCCTACGGCTGGTTTACAGAAGAGAAATCCCCTCCCAGGTTCTCTGTTTAACAGCTTCACGGCTGTTCTGTCATTCTTCAGCACTACAACATGCAGTCACTGGGCACTGCTTGTCCAATGATTCAAATCCTTTTCAGGCTGGAATCCCTTCATTCCTGCTGCCGGGAAATACAATGACGTTGCACATTTTATGCCTGTAAACTACTTGTATGTTATTCCCACGGTCTCAGTTAACAGAGCTGCATACAGTGTTAGTTAAAATGCATTACACACTCTTTAGGTGCCATACGCTATTAACAGAGTACAGCTGTCAGGCAGGATGAGGCTTTAGAGAACCTAAACGTTACGGTTCAGGGCAGGGGGGGATTTCTTCTGGGAATGAACAGAAGACACAGCCTTAACCCTGTGAAGTGCTCTGGCTGCAGTTTAAGCCGCCCCGACGCAGCAGTCCTGTCCTCCCCTTGCCCTTGCATCAGCACCCACATTTCCACGGCTGTGCCACAAACCCATCCTAGCACGTTTGAGAAACAGCCGCCGGACAGGGAAGAGGTGACCGAGGGCAGGCCGATGAACCTGGCAAGTGTCACGGTGAGGCGTCCCCGCAGCCACCGCGGCTCTCCATCGGTGCCGGCCTTCCCCCGGGGACTCCGGGCTGTGCCTGTGGGCGCGGGCAGTGCCCGGGTCCATCCCGCCCAATCCCGCGCCGCTGTCACTCGTGGGCCACACGCTCCAGCGCCACGTAGAAGCTGTCCTTGTCGTCGAGGCAGTGCCAGCCGATGGGCCCCGCCTCGCAGTCGGCGCACACCAGGAACTTGACGTTGCCCACGTCGCGGGTGAAGCCCACGTTCTCGAAGGAGAACATGTCCCGCACCAGCCAGTGCTCCCGCACCACGTCCCCGCCGCCGCCGCCCGCAGCCGCCGCCGCCTTCTTCCTCATGGCGGGCAGGAGCAGCTGCGGGAGACAAAGCGTCACCTCACCGCCCCGCCCGCAGGGGGCGCCCTCACCACCCCGCCCCTCCGCACCCCGGTACCTCACGGCGGGCGAAGGTGGCGGCGCCGGGCAGCAGCACCCGGGACCCGCAGCGCTGGCACAGCACCGCCTTCACGTTCCGGCCCTGCGCGCACACCAGCTCGGCCAAGCCCGGTGCGGCGGCGGCTGCAGAAGGAGGAGGTGAGGGAGGAGGCACCGCCGTCGGCGCCGCCGCTTCCATCCCCGCACAGGCCGCCGCCATAGCCGCGCAGGCGCGCTGCGTGCCGCCACCACCCGAGGGGCGTGGCCAGTGACTGTCGGGCGCGCCGTGCGCCTGCGCAATGGCAGGGTCCGGTCACTCGTGCGTCCCGCGGCGCTGAGCCGGCGCGTTTCGGGGCCCAGGCGGAGCGGGAGGCGCTGCCGGCGCCCAGGTGACTGCAGGGCGGCTCTGTCCTGCCCTGGGTCCTGCTGCACCCGCACCTCGTTACCACCCTCAGCCTGGGGCCAGTTCCTCTTGTCCCATCCCTTGTTCCTTGGGAGCAGAGCCCAGCCCCTCCTGGCTCCATCCTCCTGTCAGGCAGTTGGAGGCAGCCATCAGGTCCCCCCTGAGCCTTCTCTTCTCCACACTGAACCCCCCAGGTCCCTCAGCCCTTCCCCATCACACTGTGCTCCAGGCCCTGCACCAGCTCCGCTGCCCTTCTCTGGCCCCGCTCCAGCCCCTCAATGTCTCTCCTGTAGTGAGGGGCCCAGAGCTGAACACAGGATTCGAGGTGCGGCCTCACCAGTGCCCAGTGCGGGGGCTCAATCCCTGCCCTGGCCCTGCTGCTGCACTGGTGCTGGTACAGGCCAGGATGCACTGGCTCATGTTAGCACAGTTAACCAGTTATATCCTCAGAGTCTTCCTCACCTCTGCTTCACCCTCTTCCCAAGCAGACCCTGCAACAAACCCCCCCATTCGCAGGTGGTCCAGGCTGGATGGGTTTTGTGCTGTGGCCCTCCACAGATGGAGCTGTTTTAACTTCCACACAGAAGCTGCAGTGTTGGTAGAGCTGGAGGCTGCTGCCTGATCTACCATGGGGTTTATACACACCCTCCACCCAGCAGCGACACCAGGGCTTGAAGGCAGAGACCAGAAACTGAATTCCCAGTGGCTCAGGAAATCTTTTATTCTTTATAACTTCATTAAAAAATAAACATAGGAAATCAAACCACGGAACACGGGTGGGAGAGAAACAAACGCGGAAGGGCAGAGCGGTGCCTCAAAGTGCTTCACGGAGTCATGCTACCACATCCCTGATCCCACCCTGGCCCCCAGGCCAGGAGTCGGCAGTAAGCTCAATGAGCAGCACTACACGGAGCCCGTGCTCCCAGAAACGCAGCAGGGCAGGGGGCATGCTGAGGAGGGAGGGCTCCTGTAAGAGGGTCTGGAGTACCAAGGCAGGGGGATAAAGAGCCGAGAACAAAGGGCAGGAGGGAATCCTGGATGTCACTCCGCAGCAGCCCTGGAAGCAGAACAATCCTACATGAAATCAACACCATGAACTGCATTGAGAGGCTGATGGGGGTGTGCTGCCCGCAGGCAAACCCCACTCGCTCACCAGCAAAACCCACTCAATAGCAGTGATTGTGCCCCTGCTTTCAGGGCCCTGACCTCTGCAAGGTGACCTCCCCACAGGGATGGGAGCAAAGGCACTGCCACAGCACAGCACAGCTCCTGCTGCCAGGAAACGCAGCTCTTTGCAGCTGCTGTCAAGCTTTTTGAGGGAAGTTAAGATGTGCTGAGCCCCCGATCAGAGCACAAACGCTGCAGACCTGCTCCTACACCAGGCAATGAGCTTTCCCCCTGCCCTCTGTCCCCTGCAGCCCCAGGCTTTCGGGTCTCAGTAGTTCACAGCTTTAATCTGCAGCTCCTTGTGTGCGCAGACCTGTGAGGAACCTGCAGCCGTAGCTACAGTGCAGGACCCACTTACACAAGCTCGCTCAATGTGGCTCTGCACTGATGTGCGCTTGAGGAGCAATGTTTAAACATTCACTATGTACAAGATGATTTGTAGCCAGAACGTAAGAGCAGCTGGGTTCACCCTCACACAACCACAGGACCTGTGTGGTCCTGCAGTGGCTGAAGAGACCACCCGGTTGTATGTACACATCCTTGGAAGCAATTCACCAAGGCTGACACCAAGGCTGGGGGCATCTCTGCTCTGCCGATAGCCACAGGAACAGCAGAGAGCACAGCTTCTCCTGACCTGCTTCACCACCTTCACGCAGAGCCCCCGATTTTGAATGACTGCTGAGATAACACGTTTATGCACATGCTCTAGTCAAAAGCAGCACAGAAAGCTGCTGGTCTGGTGCTTGTTCCCACAGCATCCACGACTCTCAAGAACAGTCACTGCAAACCACTTTGGACTCTTCCTCCAGCCGAGACTTTTCAGCATGTTCTTGCCAAGGCCCCTCCAGATCACTTCTCCCGAAGGACGCAGACTCCAGCGTCACAGCGCTGCATCCCCAGGGAGGTCACCACTTCCCAGCTGTCAATGATGGGATCGTAGCACTCAATGCTGCTCAGCAGTGAGTTGCCATCATACCTGCAAGGCCAGAAGGTTACAGGTGAGGGATGCTGCAGAAGGAAGAGGTTGAGGCATTCAGAGCCCTTCCTGGGGGGCTGGACAGCTGTGTAACAGGAGGAGCCTGAAATCAAACTGCTGCATCAAGCTCCCTTTTGCTGTCTGCTGCTACCCTCCTGTCTCAGTGCTGGGCCAGCACAGTGCTTGTTCACACTGGGCACGGTCCCTCTGGGCTGTGTCCCCTCATAAAGCTTGGACTGGAGATGGGAGGAGAGGCCGCCTGGACCAGGGCAGAGTCACCTCAGCTCCTGCAGGGCATCTCCCCCTTCCCCAGCCTAGGGCAGCCGCTTACCCAGCGATGGCGTAGAGCCGTCCCCGCAGCACCGTGGCCCCCACGTAGCAGCGTGGGGTTGTCATGCTCGTGACAGTGGTCCAGGAATCAGTGCGGATGTTATAGGCTTCCACAGAGGAGAGATGCGCTGTCCCGTCGAACCCACCCACCACGTAAATGTGGTCATTCAGCAGAGCCACTCCAGCCCCTAGACACAGAGAGAGAAGGCAGCACAGTTAGGACCGTGAGTGACACTGGGAGCACTGGGCTCACCGCTGCAAGGATGAACTGGGTCACTTCCTCCCTCTTCAGAGGACGTTTTCTTGTATCTCCCACAAGAGAGCTGCCATAACCCAGTGTCTTCTGTTGCTGTTGCCTCCAATACAACACCTGAAACCCTGTAACTACCAAATGCTGCTGAATCTCTGGCATAAGGGGGGCCTGAACAGCTGGGGCAGCACTGGCAATGTGGGGTGCTCACCTTGGCTGAAAACCACCCAGCTACTCCCTGAGGAGCCCAGCACAAAGCTCGCTCTGCTGCAGCTGGGACTCTGTCACCACAGAGACAGGTTTCTCTGGTGATCACGGCTCCCTGGTGTCACCCAGCCCTTGAGGGCATGCAGTAAGGACTGCTCCCTGCGAGGCTGGAGGAGGGATTTCTTTGCCAGTGCTCCTCTGGAAGGCAGGCAAATGAAAACTGGTGCCTGTTGCAGTCACAGAGATGGAAGGAGCTGAACCATCTGTCTGCACAGCTGTTCTCACACTAACAGCAATCAATAACACAGCTGGGAATTGATGACAACAGCAGCAAATAACCCCCCCACCAACCTCTGCTCCTCATCTGCAGCTCCCTTCAGGTAAAGCACCAAAGAACACAGTGAGAGAACAAGGCACTTAATGGCCTTGGGTGCTCCTGCCAACACCAGCTGCTGGTTTGACCTACATCTGAGAGCAGAGTAAACCCTGTCAAGCTGTTACCGCCAATGTGTAACTATTGCACTGATGAATACCCTGAAGGAAACAAGCCAGATGCTCTGCAGCTCTTGGGCATTGATCTGTTGCTTTTATAAACAGGGTATAAGAGACGTTCTGTTCCACTAAACACAACCTCACCTTCACTGCCTGTGCTTGCTGAGAGCACCGAACCAGCTGGGAACAGCCAGGCTGCCCCAGTGAGCTCTCTGACAGCTTCAGAGAGGAAGGCTTTGGCTGAGAGGAGAGACAAGACCACTGCCTAAGCAGGGTCTAGCAGTGCAGCATGGCCAAGGTTTCTGAGGGGTGGCCTACCTCCAGAATCTGCCCTAAGAGATGAAGAGAAACAAGAGCTGACGAGAAGCAACTCAGCCCATCCCATTATCTTGCACTATGGTCTGTACTTTGTGCCTTGCTGATGTTTCTCCATGCTGGGCACCGTTCCTAGTTATGGAAGTCACACAGGGCTTCCTCTCCCTCCCTGTAACCTATAAGCCCACAAACACATTCCTCTATGCGCATCTTAGGGGGGGATGGAGGCTTCAGCCATATGAAAATCACCTTTTTCTCCTGGGAACATAAGTCATGCCCTAAAATCACCCCTTCTCAAAGCCAAAGCACCCTTTGGAGCAGTCAGCGTCCTCCAGGGCAGCAGAACAAGCCAGCACAAGCTTCCTCAGCACAACACAGAACGTTCTGACCTCAAGCTCTTACCTGAGCGCTTCGTGGCCATTGGGGTGACATTTGTCCAGTGTCCAGTGTGGGGATCGTACCTCTCGACAGAATTCAGTATGTTCAGCCCATCGTAGCCCCCTGAAAGAAAATACAGGAGCAAACCATGGCACTGGCTTCTGGGCAACGTTTTCTGTGTAGAGAACAGGAACACCAGTTCCTCCTGAGCCCAGCATCACACTGCAACCAGCACAGCCCACAGTGGGTCAGGGCTGGCAGAGCAAAGGGATCCCTGCGAGCTCTGCCCCTGCACTGCCCCGGCCGCGCTCTCCACACCAGTACGAGCAGGTCAGCACTGTGCTGCTGCCAGTGTCAATGCTGTCCTGCTAAAGCAGATGTTCAGCTTCCAGACCTGGTGCTGGCTCAGGGTCTGCGCTGCAGCCGCCAGCTGATGCCAGAAGGCTCCATGGTGTAGGCTGGGATGTCTCCAAGAGCTATTTCACAAGAGGATACCAACAAATCTCTTTGTGCAGCTTCAGCACAGGTCCTTCAGCATGGGGGACAACAGATGTCCCGACAATGTCATTTGCCTTGGGGACAGCATGAGGAAGAGCAATTTGGGAGAGGGAAGTAAACCCCATAAACTAGTGTCCAATATCCAATAATGATTCCCCAGGAACAGGGCTGCAGCAAATGTGGGTGCAGCACTGGGCCCAGAGGGTGCATCTTCAGAGTGATTTGCCCTCCAGCACTCTGGTCACAGCTAGTGTGGGCCTCTGCAAATGAAACACGTGCTACAGAAAGGAGAAAGGATAATGTATGGCTCAGGATATAGTTCTGGAGTATTACAGCTGCCATTGCTTTGTGTGGATCAAAGGCACCGTCTGTGCTTCATCTCTAGGGCATTAAACAGGGGAAGTTCAGGTTAGATATAAGGCAGAAGCCCTTCCCTGTGAGGGTGCTGAGGCGCTGGCACAGGGTGCCCAGAGAAGCTGTGGCTGCCCCATCCCTGGCAGTGCTCAAGGCCAGGTTGGACACAGAGACATGGTCTAGTGTGAGGCATCCCTGCCCACGGCAGGGCGTTGGAACTGGATGATCTTAAGGTCCTCTCCAACCCAAACCATTTTATGACTGTACAATTTTAGCCACTGCCCAGTCCATGCAAGCCTCAGCTGGCACTGCTCATCCTCCCGCTGCCCCTCAAATGCAGGCTGATTGTGTCCCATTTGCTTCTGACAGCATTTACTGTGGGTATATGGCAGCTCCAGTCTAAGCCATTGCGATGGGAACAGGGAGAACAGGCTGCATTCCCCGACAGAGCTGTGTCAGTTAAACCCCTCTCTTCTAACCCACGCTTGACAGCAGTGTACTGCCAGCACGTGCTTGCAGGACACCCCGGGGCCCTGCGGGTACCTACCGAGGCAGTAGATAACTCCATTAGCTACCACAAGCCCCGCGCCTTCCCGTGCTGTCTGCATGTCCCCCAGCATACTCCACTGGTCGATGTTCGGGTCGTAGCGCTCCATGCTGGTGTGCCGCCGGCTGCCGTCAAACCCACCGGAAACATAGATCATGTCTGCAAGGTCAGACAGGGCTTGGGCTCAGCGAGGCAAGCAGCAAACATGCACAGGGAGCAAGGAGGCCCTCACAGATGGAGCAAAGCTGCAGCGTGGACTGCAGGATCCGGGAACAACTGTGGATCTTGGCACGTTTAGAGCCCAAGCAAACCCAGGCTCCCCATGCTAGCTCACTGCGTTAGCCTGCTCACAGGCCAAACAAACAACAAACCCATCTGGCCCTTAAATCTGCTTCTTTCTAATGATGAAGGAGAATGTGCACCCCCCAGTTAGATTTTTCATGCCTCAGAACCCACTGAAACACTGCCATGGCCAAACCCTTACTATTGCTATCGGCATGTCAGCACCTCCCCAGAGTCCTAAGAATCCTTCCTTGCAGATGCTCCACTTTCAGCCTCTCTCGGGTGCTGGATGGTTACTGCTGTACTCGGTGTCCTGTGCTCAGTAACACACAACACTGTCAACCACCACTCCATCATCCCAGCCTTCCTTTCCCTTGATGCACACGCTGTAAGAACGAAGCGGAGGCAGAGCTCCTCTCAGGATACGTGGGCAAGTTTCCCACTTCTACTGCTCCTCCAGCTGATGAGCACTTCAGACTCACCTCCTCCCTCGGGGCCAGCCCACTCTGCACACATCAGCTCAGGGCCTTTCAGGATGAGAACGGCACAGGCTGTGCTGCCCTGTCAGCCTGGGGACTCTGCACACATCAGCTCAGGGCCTTTCAGGACGAGAACGGCACAGGCTGTGCTGCTCTGTCAGCCTGGTGACCAGCACGTACCTCCAAGGGTGGTGGCTCCTGCCAGGCCTCGCCGTACGTTCATCGGAGCCACGGAGTACCAGATACCATCCTCATCCGAGGTGTAATCCAAGCACTCCACCGAGCTGAGCCGGGAGCGACCGTCGTACCCCCCGATCACGTAGATGCGATCGTGCAGGGACACTGTGGCAACGTAGCGCCTCTTACGGGTGATGCTCTGCAACAGGGGAGGAACAAAAAGGTCAAGGAGTGGAGATCCCAGGGGTGCAGGGAGAGCAGCGCCGCTATCACCGAGGCAAACAGCACGCTGGGTTTGAAGGATACAGCCTTCAGCGGCTGTGCCTGCCCTCCTCTGCCTCTGCCATGCGCTCTTCTCATGGTCAGGTCTCTCTGCACTGAAATGTTTTGCACTGAAATGAGGTGTCATTGATGCTGCTGCTGAGTCTTTGATGCATCTTGAAGGCTTGTGTGCCTCCCACTGGCTCCCTGCAGAGACTGTTCATAGGAAAACCATGGAGACTCAGAATACCTCAAGCTTTCAGCCTCCAAAAATGTAACAGACTTCTGGGCCCCCAAGTGACACTGCATTAGCAATATTAAAGAAGCAGCAGTTCTCCACCACTTCACACAGATAAAGGTGATTTAAAATTCAGTCCAAAATTGTGCAGGAATTCTCTCTTCCATACTATCCCCCATTATGCTCAGAAACAATGGGACCAGAGAGATCCTGCAGCCTGCCTGGAAGAACGTATCCCACTCCTAGTGACATTTCAATTATTATCACTAACCTTAAAGCTTCACAACCCTTCAATACGAAACATGATAAGTCTCACTCCCACAACAGAATGTGGTTCTCTGTAGGCTCATCTGATTAGAAACATGACAACCACCCCTCACACAAAACTGATTTAGCAAATCTCCAAACGTGGTTTCAGCATTCGCTATGTAAACCCCAGCAACTCCAAAGGATGTATGGCAGAAATGCTAATCAGAACATGAAAGACAGCCCAATGAGGAATGTTATATCACTGCTGCTACAGGAGCAGTGCCTGAGCACAGCCAGTGGTGGTCAAACATGGTCCCTTACTGGCAAGAAACTCCACTCCTGAGTCTTCGGGTCGTATTTCTCCACTACATCAATAGGTGACTGCTGGCTGCCAAAGCCGCCGATCACAAGCAGGACTTCATTAGCTCCTAGAGCAAAGAGGGAGAGCAAAGTCAAGTCAATCCCTTCAAACCAAAGGGAATCACCTGAAGAAACACTCCTCCTTCCTTGGGGCGACGAGCTGCCTCTAAATCCCTGGTTTCATCAGTACTCTGAAGCAGGCACCTAACCTGGCTATGGGCACTTGGACACTTCTATCCTCAGCAGGGAAGAAGAACAAGAAACTCTTCCAGGGTGCATGGCAGTAGGACTAAGTCAGGTTTTAGGCGCTCTCTGCTCCAGGGCTGTTCCTCCCAGTACCAGAGGCACTTTGGGAAGACAAGCTGGCTAAGTTAGGTGCTGACATTGGCTTGGGTGTAATTTCCTTTGTATTCTTTCCCCCATTTTTCCCAAACCTCTTCCCATCCCATGAAAGCTGAAGGAGGATGGCTGCTTCCCTGCAGCCTCCTCACTAGACAAGGCCTTTTCCCCTCACTTACAAGTGACATTCAGACCAGATGGCACCTTAGTTCCCCATTTCATTGCGAAGCCAGTCAAGCTGATTCTTATGTGTTTTATTTTAGAGGGGCCTTCCCTTTCCTTTCTCTTCTCCAAGATGGTCCCTGAGCTTTTCTTATTTTCTCTGTGACTGTTAAATAACACTTGTGACCTGAAGAGCTTTAACTTCCCTTGTGATGACTGCCTTGAAGGCAGGCTTCTGGCGAGCATCCCCTGGGCCAGCTGAAGTGCAGTCATTTCAGTCTCTCCCATAGAAAGTTAATACACAATTTGATCAGAGTTTATAGGTGACACATGGTGAGAGCACTGCTGACAGCAGATGGTATGGAATCAATTAAAAAAGGTAGGGCTGAATCCAGAAGATGAACCTTAGCACTAAGATGCCACAGTTTTTACCTGCACAGTTAAACAATAAACTGGTTTTGGGATGTCCCCTTTATCAGGTGAGGCTTTTCAACTAGAATAAAATGAAATGTGTCTTTCTAAAATGACAGCTTGAGCTCAGCTGTCACTGAAACCAATGCAGGATGTTCCCACCAAACCAGGAGACACGCAGTACCCCTGCAGGGAAAGGGGGATCTCTCCATCTCCCCCCCTAGGCTTTCTCCTCTCAGATTCTCTGCTGAAAATTCATCTTCAGTGTAACACAGCTGCCCCTCACCTCACAGCTCTCTTTGTTTCTGACACTGATAAGACAGAAAGAAACTCTTTCCATACTTCTTGGACAGCTGCATACCGAGACAGACCTATCTGGAGGCACCAGCAACCCAGGAAACTGGGATTTCAGAGGCCTGGGATTAAAGGCAGCCAAGTAGACCTCATACTAAGCAAGTGTGCTCTGAAAACAAACACACCTCTGTCCTTTGCTCCAGGCCCCTTTCTGTACCACTGGGGGTGTGCATTGACAAGTTCCTGCTGTGAAGCACTTGAGCACAATCACAAGGCACCAGACATGGTGTGTAACACAGTACCTGCCGGTGCCCCAGACCTTCACAGTGACCTTTGCTGCTCACCTAGACGTGCTCTTGTCCTAGGTCCTTGCATCTGACTCCTGAGCTCGGGCCGAAGGTGGAATTTCTTAGCTTCATCTACGAGGTCTCTGCACTGCAGACTGCATCGTATAAACGGCTGAGGAGAAACATGAGTCACTGGTACATGGGAGGTATTTTAAGATCCCTCAGAAGAGCTGTCCTAAAGCCCATTCTCATCAGTAAAAACAGCATAAAAATGACTTGGGTGCAGGCTGTTGCTGGTAATGTCATGGTGCAAATACTGTACACAGTGAAATGCAAAGACAGCAGAAGACTGGACTGCAGCTGGAAAGTTATGGGTCAATTCTCACACAAAGTGTGGCACTGCAGGTTCCATAAGGAAAATAACTATACTGGAAAACAAGGGAAAAGCCACTTCTGCTACATATAAAGCCACTAGAAGTACGCCTGAAAAGGAGGACTGGCACTGAAACCACACCTGAAACCAGCTTGGCTGGATGGGCCCTACATAATCAACTCTCAGTATATACCTGCCATCAAAGAAGAGACAAGGAGCACAGCACAATGAAGCAGTTCAGCTAGATGTATTAGCTTGATCCATGGGCACATGGGAAGTGTAACTATGAAGCAACAACAGCAGCAGTAAGGGCTTCTTTTAAAGAAGCTGGGGGCACTGCAGCCCAAGGACAGGCTCATCTCTCTGCATAATGCCATGTAATTCCCTTCCTGGCTGAGGGCCTGGACCAACCTCCGCTGAATGTGCAATGTTCAGTCCCCTTTGGGTGTCTGGTGCTATATGTGGCTGCTGGAGTAAGTTAAGATCTATTTTCACAAGTTCTCAGTGCTTGTGCAAGGCAGCCAGGGTGCTCAGAGCAGATGACGCCATACAGGGCCAACACTCCTCTCTGTGCTGCCCTGAGATGATGGTGTCCCACCAGTGTGGGTCATTTCCAGGCTGGAGAGGCCATCGCATGCACTTAGAAAGCTGAGGTCCTGTATACACAGCATCTTAGGCTGGTTTTGGAACAGATCTAATTGTTTTGGCTCCAGTCTCTTTTGTGTTAGCTTCAGTTTCAATTTACTGTGGACCATAACTATCTGATTAAACACATTTTAGCTCTAGCAGAACTTAACAGCGTGTTAGCTGCTCTTGTTTAAGAACAGCTGAAAAGGCCATCACATTAGAGATGAATGTTACTAAATCAGCCATTTCAGTCTGTCATTGAACATTCAGCACTTGTCAGGTGATGTGGGCTAGTAACCACTGATTACCTCACATCACCATCAAAACAGAATGCTGGTTTGAACCTCTTTGTGCCTTCCTGTCAAACCTTGCACAGGGCCAGCACCACTTCCTGTTTGGAGTTAAATTTCCATTGCAAAAGCTTCATTATCTCTTATCATCAGGGGCTGGAGCACCTCCTGTATGAAGACAGGATGAGAAAGTTGGGGCTGTTCAGCCTGGAGAAGAGAAGCTGCGTGGAGACCTCAGAGCAGCTTCCAGTGTCTGAAGGGGGCCTATAGGGATGCTGGGGAGGGACTCTTCATCAAGGACTATAGTGATAGGACAAGGGGTAATGGGTTCAAACTGAAACAGGGGAAGTTTAGATTGGATCTAAGGAGGAAATTATTTCCTGTTAGGGTGGTGAGGCACTGGAATGGGTTGCCCAGGGAAGCTGTGAATGCTCCATCCCTGGCAGTGCTCAAGGCCAGGTTGGACAGAGCCTTGGGTGCCATGGTTTAGTGTGAGGTGTCCCTGCCCATGGCAGGGGGGGTTGGAACTGGGTGAGCTTAAGGTCCTTTCCAACCCTAACTGTTCTATGATTCTATCATCATCTACATTCTGGTCTGACCCTGCATCACGCTGACCCTACAAACAAGCAGTGTTAGATATGGCTTAGTTGTGTGCTGGCCTGGGCCTTAGCTGCTGTCCTCATTCGAAGGTACATGCCATGTGCACCTAAACCAACTCCTGATGACCTAAACCAACTCCTGATTCCTTCCCAGATCGCATGCTGACAGCTTTCAGCCTAGAGAAGGAGACCTGATAACACGTGTGAATAAAGGGCAGAAAGCACTATAAGGGATAACAACAGAAAGATGCTACATGTATCAGAGGAGACAACTAATTGCTCTGATGGGGTGCCCTCCCAGCTAAAAACCAGGGTGCTGCAACTGCAGGCACAGCAAACAGCAAACCAGCGGGCACTCCAGCTGAAAGGGCCAGCTCCACAGTGTCAGCATCAAAAAGCATCAGCAGAGAAAGCAGCTTCTAACATGCTCTGTTAGGACAGCCAGAGCCTGAGCCGGGAGCATGGCAATGACACGAGGATGCTGCTCTGTGCCTGGGTGCGGGTACCTCGGTGTCGATGACGTCTGTGATGTAGCGGGGGGTGAGCAGCGGCATTCGCACGTACTGCAGCAGCTCGGGCAGCGACGCCTCCCGCTCCTTCTTGGAGTGCTTCACCCAGTTGATAACGGCCTCAAACACCGGCTCTTCAGAGTCCACCTGGGAAGAGGAGGCACACACTGGTCAGACTGCAGGGCAGCACTTCAGCTGCTGCCATGGACCTGACAGCTTCCAGGCTGCTGATGCTACTTCATGGCTAGCAAGAGAGCGTGATGTTTCAAGGAAGAGTCTGTTGTGGGAATTCCCATGAGCTGCATTTACAAGCCCTATGAAATTCCCTCATTTTCTTTTCCTTAAAACTGCATTTTTTTCCCTACAGCCCTCACCAATGGCTGGCAGCATGAGTGCCACAGAAGTGAGCTGCATGGTCTGCATGCAGCAGAGCCAGAAGCTGGGAGCCACCACTCACTGCTGAGGGAGTGCAGGAACTCACAGGGCAGCTCCCCCGAGTTCTCACTGGAGCAGGCGTTATGGTCCTGCACAATGCAAAGCTCTACCATAAGGATGATCAGAATCACGGTTCATTTATATGGAGCAGGGTCTTGCTTGCCCTGCAGCCCCATTCCCACACACTGCCCCTTTAATGCACGAGCCATCCCCATTGACTTTAAGGCTTCTTTAATATTTAACCCGCATTTAAGGAACCATAAACAACTGGATTTCAGAGGGGAGAACCCCAGGGCATGGACGTTACTGTTTATTTCTCCTGTTTATTTTATTCTGTGACTAGTTTCTTTCTTTCTCCATTTAGGACCAGCACATGCTGGTGCCCATGGCCAGAGATCACACTGACTAAACCACCTCAATCTGATGCTTTTAGAGAACCTCCAGTGCTCTGGGTATCTGTGAATGCCAAGAGCTAAAGCCTGTAAAAAGCTCTGTAATATATTATTTAGGCTTGGTTTTTTGTTTGCACATCTTCAGATCACCAAATGTAAAAGCAAATGAGCCATGAATTTATTATCATGAGGTCTGTTAACTGCTATTAAATACAAAGTAAAAGGAAATACTGTAAGAGGATTGAGCCTTCCCACCAATACATGACTGGTCCACTCTGAGGTTCAGTTTGAAGCTGTCTGTTGCCAGATGCTCTGAAGCAGGGAGCCACCTCTGTGGCTCAGCTCTTCCAAGCCATTGATTTGTATTTGTTACAGTGTAATCTGACATAGCCTCTTTCTATGTGAATTACAGGGAAAGGACAGTTAGAGCTCACAAATGGAGAGCAGAGTACAGTACTTCCCATGTCTCCCACTTCCTCCTTACATGAAACAATGCCACATTGTTTTATTCCCTCCTGAACTGTTCTCTGATGTATTTCATGGTTTTGTTGCCCATGAAATCATTTCTTTCCTGACACACAATATGGAACACTAGGCACAGTGTCCCCATCAGGACCTGCCACTGCATTTCTCACCCAACTAGGGGACTTCGCGAGGGTGCTCCCTCTGCCACAGCACATCACCTCTGCACTGCCATAGCAACAGCTAAGGCATTACAAGGAACACACACCTCACAGGGTGCCTGCAAGGCCTGAATCAGTCCTTCCAATCCACAATGGATTCTGCTTTGCTTGTGCAGCCCATCTGATCCAGTTTGGCTGCATCGTTCTGAAGTTCCTCATTATTTCCCCTGCACTGTCCGGAAGTGTTATGTCAGGACTCAGCACAACCCACATAAGCTCAAACCTTCACAGCATTAAAGCTGTGGCTTGTCAAGCCCCAACCACACTCAGCCTTCCTCCACGGCTGACCTCAGCCTGCGCCAGGGTCTTTCACTGCTCTCTCACATGCTCTTTCTCAAGCAGGTTTATTAGCAGGAGGATGTCAGCTTGGCTGAAGGCCGCTTTCAAGGCAGACTTTCCAGGCATACAACAGGAACATTCCCCTGGCTACCCCTGTACTGGCTTTTCAGGAATTCCACAAAGATATCACTTACAATGGTTCATGTTACTGTGAACTCTGAACAGTGTTTGCTCCAATCGCTTCTTTTAGAACAGAAGCAAACATCAACTCTCTACAAAGTCCATCTCAATTACAAGCCCTCTCCCCATTCCTGAGGAATGTTCAATTTATTCCTAAGACATCTGAAAAAAGCATTTGACAGGTTCCAGCCAAAGAGAAAACCCTCCAGAAATCAACTTGAAAGGAACTAAATCTGCATCTAACTTCCTGAAGAGCCAGAGGGGCCGGTGCCATCATGCATTCTGCTGCTGTAAAAGCATAGGACACCCGAATGCCTGGGATGACGAATGCGTTCCTTGTGCTGCTGAGTAACATGCAAAGACCTACACAGAGAAGTTAAAGCCTTGGGAGTATTTCTGAAACGTAGGCATTGAGACATCTCTGTAACCTCTGAAAGCTCCTCCAGGGAAAGGTGGAGACAAGGGCACAACAGCTCTGCAGAGGTGACTAATTGTGATGTCTTCCTTGCAAGAAACGCTTGTGGAAATGAACTTTCAAATTCAAGAGCTGTATGAGAAGTCCACCCGAGAAATATGGACTAATTCCTGACTGGTTTCAACATTTTACTTCAATGCTTTGCATAGTAATGGTACTGTTCAGGTTTTACCTGAATTTCATCACACTTGATGAGCTTTTCAACCTCTTCTTGATTTAAGAGGATAAACTCTTCGTGCTGAACCACCTCTGGGAAATGTTTCTGGCTGAAGACCTCTGCAGCTTGCATTAGATCAACACAATTGTGTGTCTCAGCAAAATCCCGAATGCCCAAACAATTTGATGGATCCAGCTGGCTTTCTAGAAACTCACAGCAAGCTTGTTTCACACCTACGGAAAATTGGAGGGGTGAATGAGCACTGCATGCTTACTCCCAATCCACTGCTTTGGAAAGGGCTTCAGAAAAAGAAAGTTCTAAACAAGAATGAAAATCCAACTCAAACAACAAGCTTAAAAACACTACAAGAACACATATGCAAATACTCCTTTGGAGGGACCACGTGTTGGGGCTGTGTTCATCTCTGGCTATTCTATCAGATGCAAAACTTAACTAAATCTGGTATTAGGAAGAGCCTCAAATGTCAGCTGTACTCAGCTTCATGGCTTCTACACAAACCCCATGTAATGCCAGTGGATACGGCCACCAGATTTCTAGGTTTTCTCCAATGTCTTTTTGACAGTTGCCTGGGGTTTGGGATACTTGTGTGGGATATCTGCCTAGGTGCACGTGCAATGACATCAACCAGCCTGTTAACGACCCAGACATACCATGACGGCAGGTCAAATGACATCTAGGATTTGCTTATTAAGTTGATTGAGCTGTAACATTTATGTGCTATACAGCCCATGATTCCTCTTGGGAATTCTCATGCAGAAACACAGTATCCCAAAGCATGGAACGATAACCTGCTTTATCATCTTCTTTTTCCACCCAAGTCAGTTCCTCTACCAAAGAGACCACAGCGCACAAGACAACAGACCACGTTTGACGTCAGCATTTATAAATATCATGCCACCCACAATCTGCCTTCCCTTTCCAGAAGGTCAGACAAAGCAGATCTCTTAAACAGCACCAACTGTGTGCAATTTGTGCTGATCCCTGGAAATTACCTTTCAGCTGGAGCAGACACGCCGCTGGGAGCAGCTCTTGGACGTTTTCTACTGTCACATGAACAGTTTCTGTGTATACGAAGTCCAGCAGGATTTCCATGGTGGAGGCTGTCAGGCCCTGGATATCCACATAGGGCTTGTCTTTCTCTGAGAGCTGTAAATCACAAGGGAGACAGAAGTTTATTTTTCAGGAATGTGGTCGAAAAAGCCAACAATGCTCAGCAGTGTTTTAAAAATGTGATCTATCAGGGGGCTTTCAGCAGGGATTTGTCCTTTCTCGTGTTCACTGAAAGAATAAGGAGAAGGAGGGAATTTCCCTGCAGAATTCACTTACAGGGTAAAAGGGATCATGTTCATTATGGATTAGAAGGGCAGCCAAACTGCACTGTAAAATGAGCAAGCTGAGATTCAAGACAGCAGAAATTACATGTCCCATTTGTGCAAGACAACTGAACTCTCTCCTCCACGCAGTAACTCCAAGGAACTGTCCAGGGCAATTCCTCCCTAGGCTGGATGTGCCTGACACGCTGCACATGGAGTCCTCGCTTCACAGCTCCACCGTAAAAACCAAACCAAACTGGTCCACACAGTGACAGTACTTCCACATCCCTGACTCTCTCTCCTGACCATTTTATCACCTCTAAAATACATCATTTAAGGGTATTATTTTTATTCCCCAAGGAACGTTGCCATCTCAGGGATCAATCTTTGGGAATGGTAAATTCTGCCAATTCACCAAATGTGCACCTCTCTAGGTACAGAACTGAGACTGTATTTCGCAAGGCATTGGGGTTGTGGTTCAACGCATCCATCACGAGCTGCTGGCACAGCATACCATCATTCATGAACAATGGGCTTGCAGGTGGACTCATTAATCACAGCCTGCACCGAGCTGCAAGCTTGGCAGCAGGAATGGACCTCAACAGAAGGATGTCTCCCTGCAGCACGCTGCAAAAACCAACCTCTTTTTCCCCATGACTTTTGAAGAAGTATCAGTGCAAGCACAATTCAGATGAAGGCCCATGACTTTCCTTGCCAAGAATAAGCCTGAAGCTGGTTACAGCAGGTTGAGCAGAGACTCAGTGAACAGAAAGTATGATCAAAGCATGATCGTTTGGCCTAGAATCTGCCACAGTTGGGGAAAAAGGAGGAAACAGAAGCACTGAAAATAAGAACAGTCAAGGATATTTCTGTAGAGGCATCTGATGACACAGCAGCAGAAGGGAAGAAACATCTCTGCTGAGCCGGAGCCATTTCCATCATGCAGAGGTACACTTCACAGCAAAGAAACACAGGGGGGAAAGGTGATACCCAACGTAATCTGAGGGAAGAGGCCTTTCAAGTCTATTGACACAGTGAACAAACTTTATGGCATCCAGTCAGGAAGGAACAGCAAATTACCTTGTCTGACCTGCTGTGCAACAGGCCATGCATTGCATTTAGAAGCTAAAATGAGTTCCTAACTTGGGCTACACAAAACATTCCCAAAGCAAGACTAAACTGTTTGCTACAACAAATAAAGGACACAGATGTCATAGAATCATAGAACAGTTTGGGTTGGAAAGGACCTTAAGCTCACCCAGTTCCAACCCCCTGCCATGGGCAGGGACACCTCACACTAAACCATGGCACCCAAGGCTCTGTCCAACCTGGCCTTGAACACCACCAGGGATAGGGCATTCACAGCTTCCCTGGGTCACCAAAGGTGAGAACTGTTCAGATAAGATGTTCCTATGATTCCAACAAGCAAATGGAGATTAGACCATACCTACTTAGAAGAAAGAGGATAAGAACTTACAAACATCTATTGACAGGACAGGATCTCTGCTGGTAGAATTTCAGATCTCCTTCCCCCTTTGCTGTTTAATACCAGAGTTCTGCTAACCAGTAGGAAGTAAAGCAGTGAGGAGCTGATACTCCCTAATGCAAGCACATTCCTAACATGTCATAAAAAGTCTGCAGCACTACAGATCCCAAAATCAACTGAAGCATCCAGGAAAACACATTCCCTCATTAGGCACAGTCACTTGGAGACCTCAGGAGTTTTACCCCAGGATGCCTCGGCTGGTGAAAGCCTTAAAACAGGGGCTGCAGGTCATAGCTCAGCTCTGAACCATGATGTTGCTGCCTCCCACCCATGAATCATACAACTCAGTCTGCAGGAGAATGGCCATAACATTTTGGAACCTCCTTCTTATCCAGGGCTAATTCCTGGTTGTGCCTTCACTAACGCAGATACTCAAACAGATTGCAATAAACTCCTCCAATTTCTCCTTACCTATGGGGGAAGATAAATGCTGCATGACAGTGCTAGTATGTGTCTCCCTGCATTCTAGGTGATCACAGTACAGTGAAGATGACCACGTAAGAACCTGGAAACAGAAGTTGTTAGTTTTCAGAATGACTATTTCTCCATGTTCCAGGGGGAAACCCCTCCAGTTTCTAGAATATATCCTCCAAGAAAAGCCTGATTTATTTCTGAGGTGGAGCCAATGATCAGCTCTTAACACATCCTGAATGATGCTAACCTGTCCAAAGACAGAAATGCCAATGCACAACTAGGATCCAGGGGAGCATTTGCTATAACTGCTCTTCAGTTTTCACTGCAAGGAAGAACCTTGTAGGTAACACTGATGGGTCTTTCAGTTTTCCCACACCACCTGGCACTGTGGCAAACGAAGGCATTGTCAAAAGCCAGGGATTCAACAGGGGACCGGTGGCTACTCCTTACTCTGGAAAACGGGAACAGAAAATGGGAAGAAATTAATACTACATTATTACTACACACTAAAGACAGAGAACTTTAAAGTAAATGTCAAAGTCAGAGGTGAGAGAAGGAAGGGAACAAGAGGCACGTGGACTGGCAATCATAATACTTTATGATGACTGTCTCTGGTGACAGTCTCAGTGCTCCCCTGGTCATACACAGACGAATGACATTAGGCATACCCCAGGGATCAGCTCTGAACCAAGCCTTGTGCAGCCCAAGGCTGACAAAAGCCACACATTGCACCTAGCCAGATTCACAGGAGGCGAGCGATGAAACGCAAAGGAAGCCCTCACACACTGTTAGTCCCTTCTGCAACAGGGCATTTGGAGCTCTCTCATGAGTTACAGCCATGGCCAAAACCACTCTGTGCCCACACGTGTTTGGGGAGTGACCAAATGCTGTCCCACTGCACTCACCAACATACCTGCTGCTGACACACATGGGAAGCAGGTCCACTTTGGGGCTTACCAAGCTGTCATTTCCTGGAAGAGCCGCTCTCCCACAAACAGGAAGCGTGTGTGCCCCTTGGCAGCTTTGTTATTTGGTGTTCCCATACAAAACAAACCCAACGAATCTAGAACAAATACAAACTAGCCCAAAGAAGGCAAACCCTTCAAGCAGCGGTGATTTGGGAGCATGAGATCGAGCAATCACGCCCCTGGACACCAGATGCCTTCTTTTTCTAGGAAGAATTGCATCTATTAATTCAGGTCACTGTAGCATTACAGTTGAAATGAAAGTATAAAGGAAGGAGGGATGATCTCAGTTTAGAGAGGGTACCAAAGTACACCAATCCTCAGCCTTTGTTAGCAGCCACAAAGAATGACATCCTGTAGCTCACAGGGTGACTGGATCTCTGCAGATGCCTAGACAATATCCAGGAAGTCAAAAGCATTGACAGGAACACAGAGACAAACACAAAGAAGCAGAGCCCATCTGCTCTACTCCTGTGCACCTTGAGGCTAGTGGTAAACAGAGAACTTCAGCCTCCAGGGACTGAATTTGCTTTGTGCATTTTATAATTACATTTCCTTTATGCTGGGAAAGAGCATAAACCTGACAAATGTACAAACTTCATGGAACATGGACATAAACCACACTGCCCCGTGGGCAGCCCACCCATGTCTGGTCTTGGTTGCTTTGCACAGGACTATATAAACCAAGGCACCTGCTCACTGGACGCAGCACTGAAAGATGTGGGCACACAGACAGCTCTGCCATCCGTGTGCACTGCTGAATAAAACAGAGAATTATTCTCCTGCAAGCACTACTGGGCTAGCAAAGAGGTCTTTAGGCCCTTTGAGCTCTGCTAATGGGGAAGTTGCTATGATATAGAAATCATCTCCTGTAAGAAAAAGCCATGAGGACCGATTCAAACTTATACAAGGCAAAGCATCTCGTATCTAACAACATGAATATTACCTTCCAGTGATTCAGAATAGCAGCATGCAGCGAGTGCAAGGAGTACAGCAACCGGGGCTTACAGCCTCAGCCCCCCAACCACAGCACTCGAGGCTGCATCCTCTTTGCAAGAGCAGCAGCACAACCCATCACGTACCAGCTGATCAGCCAGTGCGAAACAGATCAGAGCATCAGTTAAATACCCTCCATTTCAGTTTTAAAGGGCTACCTTACGTTACCAGTCTGCCTAAGGCACATGCCACAGCTGGTGCCCTTGGCCAGAGAGATGCCCAGGAGCATGAAGACCATAACCCACCACTAGGAAATAAAACCAGTGAATGATTCAGAGCCTTCTGGTTTGCCAGCTCAGCCTGGCAGCTCTCTGGTGCACAGGTTGGTCACGCACAATGACTCAGGACCACGGTCCCCACTGCAGCCTCTGACTCCCACCATGCCATGATAAAGCGCTGCCATGAGGCGACCTACAACACTGCGAGGGGCTTCAGGGCCACGAGGATCCAGAGGGCTCCAGGGCCACAAGCAGCTCTGAAGAGACCCAGAGCCACAATGAGGGGGCTCCAGGGTCACCACGGGAGCATCCAGAAGGCTCCAGGATCACCTTGAGGGGCCCTGGGCCCAGCTGCTGAGCAGCCCGAGCGGGGGGGGGGCAGCGCGGCCTCCTCCCCCCGCGAAGCCCGGGCTCGGGGCGCACCGACCTCGCTGGTGAACATGGCGCAGAAGTAGTCGCTGCAGGCGGCCAGGACGATGCGGTGGGCCGGGAAGTCCTTGTGCTCCACGCGCAGGGTGACATCGCAGAGCGTGTTGCTCTTCCTGAGGGCGTTCATGGCGTTGAGGATGGACTTGGCGTGCGAGTTGGTCATGATGTCCTTGGGGGGGGCCATGGCGCCCGGCACCTGCGGGCACAGCCAGCACGGCCACATGTCACGGCCCGCCCTCCGCGCCGCCAGGGGGCGCCCGCCCACCGCCCCTCCCTCTCTCTCTGCCCCGCCCGGGTCGCCCCCGCCCCACGCCGGCGGCCACAGGCCACTCACAGCCCGGCGGCTCCGCTTCCCCACCGGGCACGGAGCAGCGCCCGCTCCTCCCGGCCCGGCCCCGCCAGGCCCGCTCCGGTCCGGCCCGGTGCGGTTCGGCCGCACTCACCTCAGCGGGGAAAGGTCCCGGGCCGCGCACCTCGCCTCCCCCCCCTCCCTTCCCTCTCCCCGCTCGGCTCGTAGTGATGGCGTCACCGAGCCGCGTCAGGCCCCGCGCGATCCCGCCCCTGGGTGCCTCGCGGTTGCCAGGCAACGGGCTCCTGCCGCCGCTTGCGGCCCAGCCCCGGGGCCCGCACCCTGCAGCGGGGCGGCCCCGCACGGCAGCGGGGGGAAGCGGCGCTGAGAGTGACCGAGACCGGGCCCCGCCAGCTCCAAGTGCGGGTACAGCGGTGCCCCTCGGCGGGGCTGCGTCCCTCAGCGAGAGCCGGGCACGGGTCGCGGCTCTGCCGCTGCTCGAGTGTGAACAGCGAGATGTGCTTTGCTATCCAGGGAACGCTGAGGTGGCCACGGTAAAAACGGTACATTGAAATAAACGTTGTATCCCAAAGGATGAAAAAGGTCCCGCAAAACATAGCGTTACACTGTGTGTGTATGACACAGATACATGAACTTAGTGTTTGGGGCATAGAACCATAGACCAGGCTGGGTTGGAAGGGACCTTTGGAGGTCATCTATGGACATCCTCAGCTCCACTGCTCAGAGCCCAGGCCATCCTGATCCTGAATGTGCCCAGGGATGGAATGGTGACACGTATATTGAGATGCTCTCCATGTTCATGTTCTTCATCTATTTTTACCTTTTAAATAAGTACTTTAAAATAGGAAAAAGGAATTAAAATAGAGGAGATAAACCACATCAGCTGTGTGAATGAGCAGACAAGAAGCATCATGTGGTTCAGAAGTAACCTTCCCACAGGAATGCGCTTGCAGAATAAGCTGGTATTCATAGAGCTGAGGCTTGGGAAACAAACGTGGCCTCTCCATGTGGGAGGATGTGGCTCCATCACACAGTGGTGATGCTGTGAGAAGGCACCATGCTCCCAAAGACACCCCAAACACAAAAGGCCCTGAGCAACCTAATGCAATGCTGTTGCCTCTGCTTTGAGCGCAGTGGGACCAGACACCCCCAGAAGTCTCTAGCCCTCCAGTCTGAGCTGTGGTTTGAGTCTGTGTTCATGTCCATAGAGCTAGATTCCTTGGCTTGTCTAGACTTGTCCTATCCTTGGAGTGGCCTTGGGGATCATTAAATCATAACAGAATGGTTTGGGTGGAAAGGACCTCAAAGATCACCTAATTCCAAGCTCCTGCCACGGGCTTTGGGCAATCTGGTCTAGTGGAAGTCACACCTGACCCACCATGGCTGCTCTTTGAAGGCTGCCCCGCTCACCTGCCTTTGCTGCCTTCTGCTCAGAGAGCTGGCAGGGGCTCCGTGGTGGCCTGGCACCACTGGTGATCCCTTTGGGATTGTTGCATGGAAGGGCTCCTGACAGATTCAGGCTTTGTCCTCTGGGAGCTGCAGGGGGGTGTTATCCTCACTGGGTGCAACATGCCTCTTCCAGCCCTTCCCCTGCAAATGGAGTAAGTGCTGGTAATGATAGGATCATAGAATAGTTGGGGATTGGAAAGGACCTTAAGATCATCAAGTTCCAACCCCCCTGCCATGGGCAGGGACACCTCACACTAAACCATGGCACCCAAGGCTCTGTCCAACCTGGCCTTGAACACTGCCAGGGATGGAGCATTCACAACCTCCCTGGGCAACCCATTCCAGTACCTCACCACCCTCACAGGAAAGAATTTCCTCCTTATATCCAATCTAAACTTTCCCTGTTTAAGTTTTAACCCGTTACCCCTTGTCCTATCACTACAGTCCCTAATGAAGAGTCCCTCCCCAGCATCCCTATAAGCCCCCTTCAGATACTGGAAGCTGCTCTGAGGTCTCCCCGCAGCTTCTCTTCTCCAGGATGACCAGCCCCAGCTTTCTCAGCCTGTCTTCATAGAGGAGGTGCTCCAGCCCCTGATCATCCTCGTGGCCTCCTCTGGACTTGTTCCAACAGCTCCATGTCCTTTTTATGTTGAATCCTGGGGTTATGACTGCATAAAATAGGGTCTGTAGCCTGAGGAGTGCGGACTTCAGAGGGGAAATACATCTCAAATCCAACATCACTCAGGCAGTTTACAGCAAATCGCTCTGATCCTTCCCCAAGACACCAGCCCATAACCATGGTATAAACTGTCTCCAAAAACCTATGAAATGCCTCTTGTAAAAATACCCCACCTCTGTTGTGGAGCTATAGTGAAAACACCCTGAAGAGACTAAACCTGCTGCCAAGGAGCTACAAACAGTAACCCCAGATCCCCACAAAGGAGCCACTGGAAATAGGACCATAGAAAATGGAGGGATCATTGGACAAATCCCTTCAAAAGGCCTCTGGGAAAATGCTTCCAAAAATCACACAAAGGATTTTTAATACTTCATGGTTTTGTGGGGTTTTTGGTTGGGTTTTCTTTTCATAGTCCTTTTAATATGTGTTCATGGCTAGGATTTGACAGTACAGATCGCTTCCGAAATGGCTTCTATGTGGTGTTATTCAGGACATTTTTAGAATCACCATGATGTTTACAACCAATCCATAGGGACTGGCCCTAAGGCAGCTTCACACCTGCCTTATGATCTTCACCCTTGTTTCATCAGTGGTGCCCTATAACGTTTTCTATCTGTCCCTTCGATGGGATCATAGACATTTGATGAATTGCTTTGGTGGGGCCTTAGATCTCTGTGTTTTCAGGACTGCCTTTGGCTGCAGTTTCGGATGTGCTGGATCTGCTCAGGGAAGTTCAGGACTTCTTCCAGCTTTCAGAGGAGCCACAGAATTGCTCCTGGGCTGGTGCTTTCAATGGATTTTCAATCTCTTCTTGGCTCTGTCCCTTAGGTGAGGTCTTTGAGTCAACTTCAAGTGACTTCTGGATAGAAAGGCTCCAGAGTTGGGGAGTGTCTTCAGGAGCATTGTAAGAAATGTCTCAGAAGTGATCTGAGAACACTTTAAAAAGCATCCCATGATATCTCATGCTTATCTTCAAAATGACCTATCTCTAGGGTTTGGTTTAGATATTTGTTGGATATGATCTGTCGGGTGCTTTCAGAATGGTCCAGGAACCCATGTGTGAATGAGTGCAGCATCTTCTGCAGACACTGATAAGGGTGATACATTGATAAGTGTATGATATACTCAGAAGGATGTGATACAGTGCTAGCTATAACGATGTGATACGGTGATAGCCATAAATATGTGATACAGTGCTAGCCATAACGATGGGATACAGTGCTAGCCATAACGATGTGATACAGTGATAGCCATAAATATGTGATACAGTGATAGCCATAAAGATGTGATACAGTGATAGCCATAAAGATGTGATACAGTGATAGCCATAAAGATGCGATACAGTGATAGCCATAAAGATGCAATACAGTGATAGCCATAAAGATGTGATACAGTGATAGCCATAAAGCTGCAGTGAGATGCGTTACTTCAGAAGTATCCACACACCACGCGAGGGCAGAGTAGCTCCAAGTCTGCTCCAGCAGCTCCATAAAGAGAGGGTCTGCCCAGGACCAGTGTTGTAGGAACAATCTGAACTGTGTGCACGTGTGTGTGTGTGTGTGAGGCAGCGGCTGAAGGGACCCCTGGTATTTCTTCTGAAGCAGCTACACAGGAGCTCACGGTCCCTCTTAGCTTGCCAGGCACGCAGGCAGTGCAGTGTGAGTACTGGCATGTTGTGTCCATTCTGAGGTTTCTCAGCACTTATCCAGTCTGGATCTGAAACACCAAAGGAGGTGTCACTGTTTTGAGATGTCTGTGAGAATCCTGTGTCCCTGACCTGTTCCCCAAGGCTGAATTCCCAGGCATCGGTGCTCAAAGGTCTGCACACTGTGAGTGAGTGGTGATCCCCCAACAGCCCCAAGCATAGAATCCTAAGATGGTTTAGGTTGAAGGGACCTTAAGGCTCATCCATCTCCAACCCCTGCCACAGGCAGGGTCATCTTGCATTGGAGCAGCTTGCTCCAAGCCCCTGTGTCCAACCTGGCCTGGAACACTTAGTTTGGCAGCACTTGTGGGCACAGGATCTAGAAGTGGTTCTGGTGCCCAGGGCTTGGCATGGTGCTCTTGTCACCCACTGAGGAGCTGACCTGCTGGCTGCCATAGCATCCCCTGGAGTTGCTGCCACTGGAAACAGTCTCTTTTCACCTTTTGCCACACATTTAACCCCTGTTTCTGTTTCATAACCCATGTTACCTGACTTTGCTCCCAATGGATGTACCTTGGGGAATATGTACCCACATCCGCACTTGTGAGTCAATTTTCAGAGACAATCCTGAGTCTGGAGGTTGAGCACTGAGGGGAGAGCATGACCTTGATGGCTTATGAGGAGGTAACTGTGGGACCCAATGTGTCTTTGTGCTGTCTTTTGCCTTTGTCTTTATAGAGTGGGTTTTCACCCAAATCAAGACCTTCAGTTTCACAGACAACTTTCACAAGTTACCTCTTCCCTAGAATACCATGACACTCGTGTGACCTGTACTCTTTCTCTTACATGCCCTTTGCTGGGGTAGTGCCAGACTCAGGACTCTACATGGGACTAGTAACGAACACGATGGTGCACCTAAAAGGCTCAAACAAGAGGCCCAGAGTGGGAGTATTGCATGGAACATCCCCAGCTTGCCCAGTGCTCCTTGGAGAGCTCTGGTTCATGCTGCCCAGGAGGTCTCTGTCCCCAGATGGGAGGACACACAGGAAAACATTAGATCCTGCAGTTGTGGGGAGGTTTTTGATCCCCTTCCCCTGCAACTGAGTTTCATTCTTCTGGTTAATACTGGTTAGCCAGCCAGATGAGGACCCCCAGTGAAGTTGATGCAGCAGTGCCGTGATTTTGTGAGGCTTCAGACAGGGATTTCATAGGCCAGAAGATGAGGTGAAAAAAGCAGAAAGAGCCTCATTGTAAGGTCAAATGATCATTGCATTTCTGATGGAAGTGCTGGGCAGGCCAGGCAGGGGAGGTGATTGATCTGTGGGTTATGTATAAGGAAGAACTGGTTGGAGACAGTTGATGGCAGCTTTGGCTGCTGGAATCATGTCTTGGTGGATCTGAGAGAAGTGAGGAACGCAAGCAGCAGAGTAGCAGTACTGCCACAGGACTTGGGTATATTGAGGACTTCAGTGGGATTGCAGTGGAGGCTGCCTTCATGGGGAAAGCTGCCCAGGAAAGCTGCTGGATCTTCAAGGATGACCTCTCCAAAGAGAAGAAAAGCCCAGCCTGATCTGTGGGAAGTGAAGCGAGCGTGGCAGGAGGCCAGCGTGGATGAACAGGGAACTCATGACTAAGCTCAAATGAAAACCCTCAGTGCACAGAAAGTGAAAGTGGGGCTGGGCTGCCCAGAAGGAACATAGAAACATCCCAGGGGTGAAGTTAGGAAACTGCCCACTGCAAATGGGTTTGTGTCCTGGTGACAAAGGACATAGAAAGGGTCCCAGGCTTCACTAGTGTGGCCTCCCTCATCTCTGTGCCTAGTGACAGGGTTCATCAGTACATCAGAAGTGCATCAGAAGAAGGTAAAATTCCATTTTGTTTAGGGAAACTGGCTATGCACCACCCTGAGATCAGACAGGACGCACCTGAGGGCACCGAGAGAACTTGATTGATGTCATTTCAAGGCCATTCTACACTGTCTTTGAAAATGGTTTACATGGTCTACATGTCTTTGACATGGTTTAGTGTGAGGTGTCCCTGCCCATGGCAGGAGGGTTGGAACTGGCTGAGCTTAAGGTCCTTTCCAACCCTAACTATTCTATGATTCTATGATTCTAAAACTCTTGGCAGCTGGGGAAGGATCCTGATGGTTGCCATGAAGGACAATGTCACACCCATCCTCAAAAAGGTAAGAAAGGAAGATCCAGGAGTTGCCAGGCTCACCTCAGTCCCTGGGGAAGTTTCGGGGCAGATCCTCCTCAAAACCATGCCCCCTGGATGTGAAAGTACCCAAAGGACAAGAAGGTCATTGGGAAGAGTCAGTGGGGTTTTCCTAAAGGTAAGTCTTACCAATTACCTTCCACAGTGAGACGAGTGGCTCTGTGGATGGAGAGGACCAGTGGGTGCTGTGTCCCCTGGCTTCTGCAAGGTTTCTAGCAGTGTTTCACATGCACACTTGTAAAGATATTGCTGCCATGAAGGTCAACCACAGACTGGGCTGCATTAGTAAAAGCACAGCTAGCACGTGGAGGGAAGTGTTTATTCATCTCTATTTGGGACTTAGGAAGTCACAGCTCCATTTTGATGTCCCCAGCATAAGAAAGGTATAGACATATTGGAGAGTCCAGATGAGGTGGCTGGGGACTAAAGCACAGGACACATGGGGAGGGGGTGATGGAGATGGATTTCAGCTTGGTTGAAAGAAGATGAAGGGGAGATCTTGCTGTTTGCAGCTACCTAATGTGTAGCTATGTCAGGTGTGCACATTGGAAAGGCAGCAGCATGTGGACACAAACTGCAGCAAGGGAAATTCTGCTGTGGAATTTCACCCCATTTGCATGGTGCAGCCTTGGAATGGGTACCAGGGAGCTGATGGGATCCTCATCCTTGATGGGCTTCAGAACTTAACAGGACAAGGTGCTGAGCAACCTGATCTTGCTTTGGGGTAGTCCTGCTTTGTGTAAAGAGTTAGACTGGAGCCTTCCAGAGGGCTGGTCTGACCAAAATTGGTTTAGTTTCCTTTCATCTCCCTGCATTCAGGGCTTGTTCTAGTTTAATCTAAACATCCTGGTGGAGACATGAAAGTGCAGCATTTATGTTCCAGTTTTGTGTGCTATATGATAGGGGTTTTTTATCCTGAAGTTTTCTCTGTCTAGAAAGTCTCCAGGATCTTTTGGCCAGGTTGGTCGCTGTTATAACAGATCTGGGCTAATATAAATGATTCCAGAATTAGAACTTGACGTTGAGCTCTCCTGCTTGGTGGTGGTGTGTTTGCTGACTTGTCTTCAGGTTCTGTTTACAGGCTTTTCTTATAGCGAGCCAAAACCTTTCTGCAGCCCACCAGAGGCAGGTGAAACTTCCTGTAGTATGTTTAGCAGCTTGGGATGCTGTTTCTAAACCAGCCTGTGTTTTGATGGTAGATAACAAAAGGATGAACCTCATCCAGCTCAGTACCTTTTTTTCACCCTGTTTCTCACTGAGCTCTAACCTTGGGGAGGATCTGGTTTTGGTTGTCTCCTTTAAGAGATTTTCACTGGAGCAGAGCTGGCACGTGAAAAGGGCATTTTCAGTCTGGAAGGTGAATTGCATTTCACCCTATGGTGTGCACATGGTGAGACAGCTGTAATTTCTGCCTTCCTTCTAAGCATGTGGGAGGCATTAAGAGGTGAGTGTTGGTTGCCTGGACACTGGGGGTGAGGGTTTAGCATCCGTTACTTGGGATCTGGAACACAGACCCTATGAGGTTTGCTTTCCAAACACCTCTTCCTATGCTGTGCCTGGGGCTTCCGTGGCTTTGCTCCGTGCCTCCCTCTCCTGATACTGACTGCTGAAGGTGTCTGTATCTGACAGGTCATATCTGAAGGTCCATATCTGACCGGAGCATCTCAGTTTTGTTTTCTTTGAAGTCTGGGTTTTTTTTTTCCTAGTGGAATACTTCCCAGAATATTTCTGCTTCCCAGCAGGATGCTTCCCAGCATAGCAATGGGAAAGTGTAGTGGCCAGAGGAATCCAAACCAACTGTTAACACTGCAACCCTGTGCAAACTGTCTGTGCCTACACCAGCGAGCATCCCCTTCCTGGGGTCTGTGATGGAAGGAAGAGGTGTGTGGGGATTTAGGGCTGGGACAGAGTCCATACGGACAAATGTTGGATCTGGATGGCAGGGGAAAGATCCCAGCAGGAAATACAGCTAACAAAATATCCACAGACAAAAGGTTGAGATTAAACGCCTTGGTTTTGCTTCCAAGAGCTCAAAGCAGCAAACTTTTGTGTAAATGAGATAGCCTTGAAGTTCCCAGTCAGGCATTAAACAGTGATGGTTCTTGGGGCAAGTTTGGAAGAGATTGAAAAGGTGAGTCCCTGGATAGTAGGGAAAAAGGATTAACCTTTTGCCAGCTCATATAACCTGGAACTGCTGTTGCCAGACCTGAACTGGGGGCAATCTCAGTCTCAGGGATGGGCTTACATTCTCCAAAATACCTGTTTTTCATTGGCCTCTGAGGAGGCCAGTACCAAATAGTTCAATACCGTGCAGAGCTTCTCATCAGTTGCATTCCCATGGGCATGGCAATGCTGCCATCCCAAGCATTCTGAATCATGGCCCGGGCTTCCAGAAAGAATAACATTGGTGGGAAAAACAATGAGATTGAAAAAACAACCCTGTAGGGTTCTCGCCTCATTGGCTTTGTTTCAGAGGAGTTGTACATCTACAGCCAGCAGGGCTGGACAAGTGGAGCTTCGACATCTGAGAGCCTACACACTGCCTCTACATTGTCCTGGTGGACAATGCTTCCGGGTCCCTCAGGGCCAAAAACCTCCCTTGACACAGGCTGTCTCTTCCCTTCAGGGCGTCCTGACAGTGCCTTGCTGACGTCCAGGGAAACTTCAAAGGTGCCCAGCCCTGACAATGGCTTCCAGAGCAGCTCCACAAGCCAAGTACCCAGAAGGTCTCTGCTTGGAATACACTATAACAGCCAGAATGTAACCCGTAAGGCCTTGTCCTCCCCTTCAACATATCCCACCAGTTTGGTGCTCACTCGGGCAGCACCACTGAAGCTTGCCACCATCAGCTCTGGTGTGTCAGCAGGGACCCAGGACCCCCTTCTCCCTGGGGGGTTTGCTGACCCACTCTATCACACTGCAGAACTCGCTGCATCGGGACTCACAGCACAGCTCCACTTATTTTGTAGGGAAATGGAAGCAAATGGCTTAGTGTTTTAATGGTCTGAGCGTGAGAACTGATTTGGAGCATCTGCAGGATATCGGAAGTCTGGATCAGGATTCAGCTATCACAACGGGGCATGGTTTTCATCGTTCCCACCTGAACCTCATAGCAGAGCTTTGGATTTTGTCTCTAAATTTGGGGTTCTGATCCTCTTCTCTAACCTTTGGATCTCATTCCTCTGACTTCCTGCTGACCTCTCAAGTTTTTACTTCTTGAAACAAAACTGCAGGGCTCGTGAGCAGAGAAGGGGAGCAGAGCTTGGCTCTGGGTGGGGATTCTGCCTTTGCATGGGAGACCCTGTTATAGGATGTCCTTAAACTGTTATGCAGCAGACTGTCCTGCTCATGAGCCCTGAGCAGCAGGTCAGAGGGTGCAACCAGGTGGGTCTGGTCCATGGGGTCTGGAGAGCGACACAGGTGATGTAATTCTGCTGCATAAAGGTGGGTGTTTTGGCTCTTCCCTCTGAAGAAGAGGGGTGTGGAGAATGATGCCAGCTCATGGGGACACACACAATTCCCCAGTCCTCCCTTCAGCCATACAAACAACATCCAGCTTGGCTGGAGAGGCAGGCAGCCGGTTGCTGAATGAACCAACAAGGTGCTTTTCACATGCAAGAGGACAGAAGCCAGCCACTGGTCAGCAATGGGGCTCATTTATTGTCTCACAAGAATGGATGACATACAGCTGCAGTAATGTCAGCAGGACCAAAGCTTTGTGTGTGTAGGGCCTGAGCTCTGATTGCAGGGCTCCCTGTTGCGTTGGGTGGCAGTAGGAAGGTTTGTGATGGAGAGGGTGGATCTGGGAGATCCCTGAGCTGCAGGGAGCAGATTTGACTGTTCCCAGTGACTGGTGTCCTCCTGATGCCATCATCCCACAAGGCTGATTTCTGTTCCCTCCTCCTACATGAGCTGCCCTTAAAATAGGGGAGGGCAAATGCAGCCCCAAATGGCTATTCTGCATGGGGAGAAGAGCCGACAGCCTCTTCCAGGAGTGAGGTTTGGGGCCAGACCCCATTTTCACTGTGTGTGACCAGGAGCCTGGTGACTACCAACAGGAGTGCTGCAGCACATGAAGGTGGAGGGATTGATGAAGGTGGATGCATTGTGTCAAGGTGCTGCTGAGTGACCTCAAGCAAAGCACATGGGTTTCTCTAGGGAGGTGTTTGGATTTGGCTGCCTTGAAGTTCAGAGACCCCTTGTTTGTCAGACCCTGTGGGTCAGATTGAAGGAGGGGCTGAGCATTCCCAGCTCCTGGTATCAGCTGAAAGTGTGGGTCCTGCCCAACCTGTGAGGCTCCCAGTGGATGAAGCGGAGCCTCCCAAAACAGAGGCAGTCCAAACCTCAGGTTCACACACTGCTTTTAACCCACTTCTGCTCTTCCAGTCAGTGGTGTGGGGCAGATGCAAGCCCATTTCCAGGGGTTTGTGGGGCCTGCAGAGGACCCTGGAGAACAAGGTCCCTATGGGTAGCCACATCATTGCAGTTGGCCTTTTCCATGTGTTTCTGCCACAGAGCAATGGCTTTTGCTAAGACATCTCTGCGTTGAGAAGACGTCCTTGGCTTTGCTGCAGGCTCCTCCTGGCTTGTGATGCTGCAGGATGATGATGAGGATCTCCCTGACCCATCTCCTGAACTGGTGCGACTCGCTCCCAGCCAGTCCCTAGCAGGAGAAACACTCACACAGGGGGTTTATCTCCTCCCATGGCCAGCCCTGAGTATCTGGGTCTCAGTCAGAGCCCTCCCAGGCGAGTGGCAGCTGGCAGAGTGGTGCCTGTTGTCCAGGCAGATATGATGGGGGCGAGGGTAGATGGGTTGTACTGGTGCTTTACATGGAGCAGCCTGCTGTCACCTTGCTGGCCACCCGGTGCTGGGGCTGGCCCTCGGTGTGGGGCTGTTGGGCATGGCTAATCAGAGGAGGTTTATAAGTGAGACACGTAGGGTGGTGTGGGAGGGGAGGGGAAGAAGGTTATCCGGAGGCTGCTGCCGGCTGGTTCTCTGCTCTCCGAAGTGATCAGCACCTCACTGTCATTGAGGCAGGGACAATGCTCAGAGAAGCCTCTCTCCTTCCCCCTGGTGCCCACCCTTTGCTGGCAGGGGACGAGCGTCATGGAGGGGAAGTTGTAGCTGTCAAGGATGGGGTGCACTCCCAGGGAATCGGGCGTCTCGAATATGTGGTCGATGTCGGGGAAGCTCACCAGAGCCTGCGTGGAGTCATAGGAGCTTTTATCCATGTCATCGACCCCGCAGGACTCGGGGTAGCTCCCCTTGTCCTGGCCCTTCCGCCTCAGCAGGCGGAGGTCATCTCTGAAGTGGGGGTTGAAGAGCACGTAGAGCAATGGGTTGAGGCAGGCGGGCAGGGGCAGGACCACGAGGAGGATGGATTTGATGACCTCCGGGGTGACGAGGAAGAGGTTGAGTGTGGAGGAGAAGGTGAGGAAGGCTACTGGGCAGTAGAGGAGGCAGTTGGTGAAGATCAGCCAGGCCACATGCTTGACCATGGCACAGTCCCAGACAGCGCTGAACTCCCCCTTGAGCAGGTTGCAGTAGAGTCGGATGTAGGTGCCTGTGATAGTCAGGAAGCAGAGCATGTTTGTCATCACCAAGGCCACAGTGAAGCCCAGGGTGGCCGGTTTCCCATCTGGAATGGGATATGGGAGGCAGAGAGGGGATGCTCCATATTCCCCAATGGAGAAGAGAGGGAGAACGGCAGCCACAGAGGACAGCAACAGGCAGCAAAAAGCAGCAGCCTTGACCTTGCCTAAGGAGGGTGACTTTCCATAGCCCCGCACGCAGGAGACTGAGATGCTGCACTGCACGGCAGCCAGCGCCAGCAGGAAGATGGCAGCCTCGGAGGCAAACACGGACAGGAATCCCGTCACCCTGCAGCCTGCTCCCATCTCCCATCTGGCACCGTAGTTGGCAAAGTGGCCGTAGGTCAGGGCGTCGACGAGAGCCAGCACACTGCAGTAAATGCCTGTCAGCATGTTGGCTCCAGCGATGGAGCCGATGATGAACTTGACTGGAGAGAGGTAGCTGGAGGAGGCAAAGACGGCCAGGATGACCAGCCCGTTGCAGAGCACTGAGACCAGAACGATGACCCAGACTCCCAGGCGGATGATCCAGCTCTCAAACAAGTGATCGCAAGGCTTGAAGGGACCTGGAGGAAAACAGACCCCAAAGTTACACCCAGGATAATCCCCTTCACAAGTTTTAAGCAGCAGAGATCAAAAGAAATGAGAGGAAATGGAGCAGTCTTGCTTGTGAAGACACCGCTGAGCTGCGAATGGGGACCAAATCCAAAGGCAGTTCCTGGTGTCCCAGCCACCCTGTGCTTGCTGGCATGGTTCTGATGGAAGTAAGGAGACAGCAGCACCTCCCTCCTCTCCCTTTCTCAGGAAACAGAGTAAAATACCCCTGCAGTCTGCAGTGCTGCAAGTAGGATCCGGAGATGAAGGACAAGGTCTTGTCATGCAGTATTATGGGTTGGCTGGGACAAAGCAAAGTCTCAGTCTTGCAAGGGAACGGGAACTTCCTGAAAGCATGAGTCTGAGTGCGGGCAGGGTGGTGGATGGAGGAGCTGGACACCTTGGATTCCTGATCAGGAATCACCTGATCAGACCCTGTCCTCCCCTCACAAGAGGGCAGCTACAGCTGTGTTGGGAGAAGGAAGCTCCTCACTCGTCCCCAGTTTGGCCAGAGCCCAACCATTCTGGCTTCTGATCTGCACGTCTGAGGCATGGGAAGGGTTGTGGGACCATAGGGACTTAGAGAAGCTCAGAGGCTGTGTTCAAAGGGTTGCCCTGGCTGCTCACCTGGGCTCGGTGTGCACTGAGTAGTGGGGTGCAGCTTGGATTCCTCAAGGTCCACATGGAGGTCGTCTGTATCTAGGTCATCTGGGGAGAAAATGAGAATCAGTGCTCAGAGAATGAACAGGGCCATCAGGGCCAGCTGGGCTAGAAGCTTTTCCCACTGCCTGTCCTCAACACAGACCTTCCCAAACGATTCCCAGCCCTCCAGTTCACAGTAGCTGCTGGTGTCTGGTTTGACCCCTGCAGTCATTGCTGTAGAGGGAGAGGCTCTTGTAGATGCTGGTGGGTTGCAGTGTGGGCAGCCCCTCTGTTTTGAGGTCACTCCCAACATTTGAAGTGGAACTGCCCCAGATCCCAGCTCTTTGTGACTGCCGATCCCTCCTCCCAGCATGCTTTATTAAACATAAAGAAATACTCTGGCCTATGTGGTTACAGAAAACAAAGCCTTCAAATGCATCTTCTGAATGGGAGCTTTCTGGGCAGGCTTTGTCCAGTGTTGGTTCATCCTCAGTGACATTGGAGCTTTGTTCAAAGGGAGCTGTTAGCTTCTACTTGTAGCACAAAGTCTTCATCAGCAACCACCACCAAAGAGCTCAGAAGCAAAGAGACAAGAGAACCCAACAATTGCTTTATTTTATGTCCTACAATTTCTTGGGGATGTGATGCACTGTCTTGCATTTTCTTAAAGGCAGGCTGATTGCCCCTGCCTGCAGACTTCAGACCCATGGGGTTTATGCACCCACACTGCACCGCCCTCATTGCCCATCCTTGCTGGGCCCGCATCTCCATCACGAGGGCACCCTGAGCCAGATGTGGGCTCACTTAGGGTCAGGCAGAGTCTCCCTGCCTGAAGGAGAAGCTGCTGGAAGAGAATGGCTCTGGGTTTTTTGTGTTTTGGTGGCCCATAGGCATAGGTCATCACTAAGGAGAATGGCATCCTCTCAATTGAATCCAAGACATGCTTTTCTGCTCTGTTCCTTGCTTCTCTTTTTAAAGTGCCACTGATTCACAGTGTTGGGACGTGGTGAGGACAGCTGCTGCGCTGCTGCACCATCCCCACCCACAGCACCAGCACGGCCTGCTGCTCCCAAGGGAGATCTTCGGAGGCTTTTCTGCAAGTGGGAAGAAGGGGAAAGGGACGTGGGGGTTTGCTTCTTGCAGCCCAAAATCCAGGGACCTGGGTCTGTGGCTGTGGGATGAGCTCTCCATGGGATGATATGGGCTGATGCTGGTGTCCACATGCAGGAAGGTGAGTTTCCACAGTGCTGAGCATATAACTCACCCAAGTGGGATTTAGTTGCCCAATTTGTTTAGAAATGGGGTCTCTTATGAGGTCTGCTCCCTGTCTGTGTTTGGAAATATGACTGGGATTGTTAGATTGAAGAACGATGACAAATGACGTGTTCTCTTTAGCGCCTCCTGACAAGCATTGCGGCTTCCTCAGCTCCAGTGAGCTTTGGGGAAAAAAAGCCATTTTCAAAATGTGTCTGTGTAAGAGCTGAAATCTTTCTGCTGCTTTGGAGCCTGGCAAGAAAACACTCGCAGTGGGATGGGCAAATGTTTCGTCCTTGTATTTTATGGCCTTATAAACCTCCAGTGCCTTTTTCATCCAGGGTGCAAAGGCTGTGATGTGCACTCACGATACTCAAATCAATGCAGAGGCTTGCACTTTCTGCCCAACTCTGCCCATGGTAATGTTAAATCCTAACCTGCCCCATCCCTTTTCTCTTCAAAGGGCTGGAATGCACAAAGGCTGGTTTGAAGTGCGGGTTAAACCTTTTTGTGGAGTGAAGGAGTGATCTTTGGTTTTGCCTCAGCTTTTGAGCTGGCTGGGAATTGCAAAGCAATCCTTGGCCAATATGGAGGGCTTCAAGGCAGAAAATGTACCTCTCTCTGCTGGAAATCAGTGCTTCCCATAGCCTGGGAGCTGTAGAGAAAAGCAAAGGCTGTGGGGATGTAGCAGGGCAGGCTCATTCCCTGTTAGGTAGCCCTTATTTCTTTGAATTTAACTAACATGCTTCCACTTATCTGAGGCCTCATGGAACAAAAGTGCTTTGCTTGTAGTGTCCTTTGCATAGAGAATGGTTCCCAGCTGCCTTACTAACACTGATGTGGAACGAAGAGGAGGAGAACAAAAACCATTGGGCTGGATGCTTCTTCCCCTTTTCTGGTGTCTGCCATAGCCAGGACAGTCCTTACGTGTGGTTGGCAGATAAGCGCTCTCTCCTTCACAGTTAGGGCATAGGTGGCTTCAAGGGGCCTGGGCAGGTGAGTTTGGGAAGCTCGAGTGGTCTTGAATGGCAGAAGCAGCGTAGGTCTAAGGACCCCTCAGGGTTTGCTGGATGGTTGGAAACGTTAATGAGTCTGCTTTAGAAGCTAGTGGAGGTGCTGGGCTGGGTAAAGCAGTGTGCTGTTATCAAGGATAGCCATACAAGTGTGTTCTCTTCTCACTTTCTAGAGCTTCATTCCATTATTGCAAACATATGTTTGGAAGTTAATGCATCCCTTCCTATCCTCGAACTAGTGGTCCTGAAGCGCGGTGCTGGGGCTGTGATGGAAGTGGCCTGTGGCAATAATACCACTTGCACTTTGCCTGCCCTCCCTGTTTGGGGAGGGTATCAGGAGCCAGCTGCATGGGACAGGCTTAGGGCAGGGGTGAATCTGTGAAATGCCACCAATTATAATGCAAAGAGGCATCTCCTGAGCACCAAAAGTTTTGGAAATGGGACCTTAAGTATCTGTTGTGACAAGGGGACAGGAATGTGCCAACCACACTCCTTTGGGCCTGGGGTGGCTCTTGGTTGGATGGGACCAGACACACTTGGGTGATGTCTGGGGGTACCCAGGTACCCAGGAGTGTGGCAGGATGGGAAGGAGTTGAACTGGTCCCAGAGTCCATGGCACCACATGCGCCATGTGGCTGGAGTCATCCCAGGTGCTGGGATGGATGCTGGGTGCAGGGAGGCAGCACTGCCTGGCTGCTGGAGCAGGGCTGTGTCCCTGGGGACCCATTTCTCATCCCTACACGGCTGCCTGGGACAAGTGGCCTTTCACCACCCGGCCATGAGGTTCTGCAGGCTTGTTTGTAAAGGGCTCCTCAGTCCCTTGCTGGAAGCACTATGCAAGGCTGAGAGGACAAGGCTGTCTGGAACTGTGCCCCATCCCTCTCACAAGTTCTCCCACAGCATCCAAGCACCCTGATGAGCCTGGCTGTACACTGCGGGGACGGAGCTCTGAGGTATTTTCTCTTAATGAGACCAATTTATCTCTTGCATGGAAGGAATGTTTGAGAGCTTTTTTCCCTCTTTAATGAGGATGTGTTACAAGATCCATGTAACACAGCTAAATACTGCTGGTGGCCACCAGAAAGAAAGCACTGGGGACAGAAAGAAAGCAACAATTGATTCAATAAAATAGCAGTATCACAAAACCCTCATTGTGAAGAGTAGACCATGCATTACTGAATGGTAAGGAGACTCGTCTGCAAATGCTGCTCATAGTAAAGAAGGATTTTCTTGAGCATTTTGCATTTGTACCTCTGTGGTTTGGTATTTCAAGACAGAACAGAGTGCTTTAACATCTGAAAATGCAGCCTTTACGAGCTGCTAATAGTCTCATCTGGCGCATCTTAGCAGCAGTCAGCATTCCCCTCTGGTCATAGTATCTCATGAACACACATATAATCCATGAGGCTGAGACTGGCCTGGGGGCCTGGCAGCCTACCTTAGGTCTTGGTCTGTCAACAGAGCTGGGAGAGGCTATCTTTTGAGGCATCAAATGCTTTGGTACCTAGCAAGAGCAGGATCACATCCTAGCTCAAACACGGCTCTGCCCATGGGTTGATCACCGTTCAGCCCAGGTTACTTACAGTGATTATCAGCATGACCTGGAAACAATTCCATGGTCCTCTTGTGGGGATCCTCCTCCTCTGGGCTCATGTCTTCCGTCTCCCATTGGCTGGACATCTTGAAGAAGCTGCTGCAGCTTCCATAGGCACAGCACTGGTAGGCATAAGGTACCTCAAGGACTCTGCAGAGGGGAAAAGCAGAACTTTGAGCATCACCTCCATGACCTGGCTCTCCATCGCTTTGCACTTTGTGCTTAACTTCCATATGCAACCAAAGCAAGTCTATCAGGTGATGGTTACATTGGAGCAGGACTTTGCTCTGGTGAAGGACTCCATGTAGGACAGAATGTGGGCCCAAGTCACACCACGGTGTCTCTGCACTGCCCACTTTTGGTATTGAGACACTGTCGGTCAATAGGATGTTATCAAACAACAGGTTTGGAAACTGCACTGAAGTTCCTGGATATTCCTAAAAACCTTCCTGCAGTTCTCCCTAGACTGAAATAGCCTCTTTTTCCTCTGCCCTCTGGCATTGCACCATCTGCATGTGCACCCTTTGGTTCTGACCCCAAAGCTGGTTTTTGCTGGGCATCCTTTCTTTGGCTTAAATTGAGAAGCTTCCAAGAGCTCAAGGGAGCACAAGGTCCTCCTTTGCTTGGTGCTGAAGGTCAGAGAGGCACCTCCAAACTCCAGTTCCAGGAGCATGGCTCACCCCTGACAGCTCAAACAGGGAAATCTCAGGTCTCTTGAGTGGAGCAAGTTGTTTTAATGTCTGATTCCTGCTCGGGAGTCGAATTGTCAGTTAATTACAGCATGTGTTTCAAGGTTAATTAAATAACAGCTGAACATCAGCTGGATGAATACCAGGCTATCAGTCAGCAGCTGCATGCTCTTCAAAGGCTGCCCACTCCTGCTTCTTTGCTGGGAGTCAGGAAGGCTGCTGATGGAGGCAAAGGAACCCCAGGTTTTCCAGACAATTAAGGTCTCCTGACGAGATCAGTAAATGAGGTGAAACTTTATAGTCTAAAAATATGCTTTTGTTTTAAGTTCCCAAACATGTCTGGCCGAGCCCTGGGAGGCTTCGGAAACTCTGTGTACAAGCTGCCTTCCTGTTATAAGCTCCCAATTAAATCCTATTATTGCAAGGTGATGGTGAGGTACAGAATCTCCCAGGATGGCTGAGGACTGTTCTGAGTTCATCCCTCCAGACATATGCCCAAGAATAGGTCTATTTAATGGCAAAACCCTGAAGATAAGGATGTTGTTATCCTTAAGATATGGTTATTTGGTCCATCACCTGCCATGACTCATTAACCTCTCCTGCACACTCAGTCTTTTTGGTACAAATCCAACTCAGTTCCACAGATGTCAATGGAATGAAGTTTAGAGGAGGAACAGCCCTGGAAACGCTCAGCTTGACCCACTGGGCACAAGGGACTGCTATCTTGGGTATGGAAAGCCCTCCAGAAGCTTCTGGGATCCCCTGCCATTTGGAAACCAGCTATGGTAAGTCGAAACCATCAGGAGAGAAAGCTCTGTGGACAGCACTGCTGAGGCAGGCTCAAGTGAGAGATCTACGCTTTGCACCAGGCCTGAGCTCTTAAGCCCAGTGTTGGTGTTGCTGTGACCCCAAGAGTGGGTGTCTAAACTGGAGCAGCTCTACCCTTGGGAACCCGTACTGGATGAGTGGGAGCATCAGCTCGTGCATCCTTGGCTCCAAGGGAGCTACCTGGGAGACCCAAGGGGAAGATGGCTTCACTTGAGGGGCATTTGAGTCAGAATCATAGAATAGTTAGGGTTGGAAAGGACCTTAAGATCGCCAAGTTCCAACCCCCTGCCATGGGCAGGGGCACCTCACACTAAACCATGGCACCCAAGGCCTCGTTCAACCTGGCCTTGAACACTGCCAGGGATGGAGCATTCACAACCTCCCTGGGCAACCCATTCCAGTGCCTCACCACCCTTACAGGAAAGAATTTCCTCCTTAGATCCAATCTAAACTTCCCCTGTTTCAGTTTTAACCCATTACCCCTTGTCCTGTCACTACAGTCCCTAATGAGGAGTCCATCCCCAGCATCCCTATCTGCCCCCTTCAGATATTGGAAGGCTGCTCTGAGGTCGGGGGGCTCAGCCTGAGGGCAGATGACGTGCTGGAGACCCACCACTACGGGAGGGTCAGGAGAGCCAGAGCCTGCAGCGTGGCACTGCACTCCAAGCCTTCTGCAGCCCCATTTGGCTTGGTTTGACCCCTTCAGGCTCCTCATTAATCCATAGCAGAGCAGACGCGGCCACACAAACAGAGTTTACTGAAGGAAAGCTGGATGTCATTAGCTAGGACTGGCTTCTGGGAATGTTTTCCATTCAAGGGAGCCCTGAGCTGGGCCTGCTCCATGCTTTCCACTTGTGTGTGTGTTTGGGTGGGGGCCGATGGGCCCGGGAGCATCACCACTCTCCCATGGAAGACTTTAAAAGATGAGGCGCATTAGCAGCAGATGAAGCTCCCTCAACCTATTGGCCTGAAAGGATGGAGGAAAGCACGAGATAAACAAGGAAAGAAGGAGACTGATTGCTATAAGCAAATAGAGGCTGTGCTGAGAGCCAGAAGTGAAAGAGCCAACACCACCACTACCTCATTTTGGGGAAGCTCTCCTTGGTGAAGGGCTCAGAGAGAGCAGGGTTGCCTTGGAGCTTCAGATGGGTCAGTCCACCTAAACCATCCAGAGGCAGCGTGACCAGTCGGTTATCAGTCAAGTCCCTGATGAAGGGAAAGCAGAGAAGGGAGACCATGGTCAGGGTTTTGGTGCTGGTTGTATCTCAGCCAAGCAGAGACTTAGAGAGCCATACTGTCTGCCTGGATGACTCCCTCTAATGGGATGCTGAAATGGGACTTGGTGCTGCATGGGGATCAGGATCCACTGGATTGATACTGCAGTCCCTGGGGAAAATGAGGGGCAGGGGCTAATGTTCACATTGAAAGCTCGGGATATTATCTACCTCCCTGTACAAATACCTATCCCATGCATCTCTTCCCTCACCACTTCCCCCATAACAGGTCAGGTATGACTGCAGCTCCCAGCCCATTGAATACCCAAGGACCATAATGAGGGGGCTGAGGACTGCCAAAATGGTGTGTCCTGCTGATCTTTCATAAGGACATCTAAAGCAGGTATGAAAGCATCAGAAAGTGGAGGTTTAAGTGTTCAGGGTGGCAGCATCTTGAAGATGCTTTTTCATTATCCCCTTAATGTTGGTAGGAAACCTTGGGACTTGGTCTGCCCATGTCAGTGCTGAGACATGCACTTGAGCACTGCAGCCTTCTGATATCTAAATGCCAGGTATCCCTGGGGTATCCTCAGATACCTGCTGTCCATGGCCCACTGTGAAAGAAATATAGAGTAGTTATGGTTGGAAAGGACCTGAAGATCATCCGGTTCCAACCCCTCTGCCATGGGTAGGGACACCTCACACTAAACCATGGCACCCAAGGCTCTGTCCAACCTGGCCTTGAACACTGCCAGGGATGGAGCATTGGTATCACTGCAACTTACAGCTTGGTGAGCGAGTGCAGGGTCACAAAGGCTTCAGGGTGAATAAACTGGATGTGATTCCAGCTCAGGTCTCTGCAAGGCAATGACATGACAGTAAGAGGGGTGTAAAGCAGTGCAGTGAAGCTGCTGAAACCCCTCTGGTAAAGGGGCTCGATGTGAGCAAATGTGGTGTCTGTAGCCTCTTGGTCAGCAGCAAGCTCTGTCTCATTGCAGCTCCTTGGAGGCAAATATGTTTGGGTCTATATATGCATGATTTCTAACAAAGGGCACAAGAGTTTGCCTTGCAGGATCTCCTCCACTGAGACCAATGGGAAAGGTTCCTTTGGGTTCGTTTCTGCAAGTCTGGGGGGTTATGCTAACATGCTAAACCTCAGAGCAGTCGATAGGTTATGCTGTAGTGCCAGAGCATCACTGATGTGGTCACAGTCCTGGGCTCCGAGGCACAGGCAGGGACTGGGTGAAGGTGAACCAAGGTCATCTGGGAGTGTTTCCTGTCATAGACAGTTGGCTTGAACACACTGAGGCTCCTCAATGAGCGATGCTTCCACCTGAGCCGGAGGGCTCAGCACCCTCTGCACCAGCAGAGAAGAGCCAGTGGATCAAGAAGCCTCTTTTTCTCCTAAGGCTGACTACAGGAGAAGTCTCCTGCGTGTGTCTTCATCTTTCCTGCTCCAAAGGGAGCTGGAGATACCTGCCCAGGGTATGTATGTGTCCCCCACTGCAAAAGGCTGAAGCTGGGTGAGATGGATCCTTCCATAGGGATGCAGAAAACACCCAAAGGCAAATGCTGGAGCTTGCATTCTCAGATGTACAATTGTATGAGTGTGTGTGCCAGCAGCGTGCCCCTATTTGCCTGCTTGTCTGTAGTGTTCCATGCGGTATGTGAGTGTTCCTGTGCAGTTACTAACACAGTGTGCACCTCTAGGAATGCTGGCCTGTTAAATGCTGCACCAGGGGCAGAAACTTCCATGCAGTTCAGTTCCCATCCTAACAGAACAGTAAATAGAAACCATAAGCACGTTGAGGGCTCTTCTCACATGTACAGGGAGAATCATGCCCTGTGGAGCCTTGCTTGCTTCTCAAAGGTGCCCAGCACATCAATGGGCTGTGTGCTGCAAGGTTCCTGTGTGTGTGCTATGTGCACACTTTTGTGCACTTCATACATCTAACATACACTGTTGAGTTGTGGGGACACCATCCCAAATCAAAGGGGATGCTCTGCATGGGGGTCCCAGGAATGCATGGCCTGGGATTAGCATGTGCAGGGAAAGGGATGCTCATGCACAAGTCCCTGCCATGCGTCCATGCCTTCGTGGGTATCTAGAGGTCAGCTGTCTGTAGCGTGTGCTGTGCATCATACGAGTTGCAGCATGTAATCAGAGCATGTGATGGGAAGCATCCCTATGTGTGGGCAGTGAGGCTGGCAGGTGATGTGCTCATTTACAGAGGGGTGTCTGCATGCAGAAAGGAAGTCAGAGGGAACATTTGTGCCCTGTTCTTTTGTAAAGGGAAGTGGAAGAGGGACTGGACAGCAAAGCTGGTGCTCACAAGTCCCCTCTTCCATCAATAAGTCCAGTTGCTCCCCTGCTGTACTTACATGGAGCGCAGGGCCACCAGCTGCACAAAGGTGTCTGCTCTGATCTCATGGATCCTGTTGTTCTGGAGACCACTGAAAAAGCAGAAGCCGGTCTGAGAAAGCAGCATTCACACTTTGTAGGGATCATTGCCACCCCACAGCAGACACTGTCCCAGTGGAAGCTGCCATTTGAGCTTGGGAGATGACTCTTATTTCAAGGGGTAAACAGGACGCTCAACAAAACAGCTTAAAGTGGGCAGCTCCAGTGCTCAGACAGCCTCTACTTTTGATGCCATCACAGCACAGCAAAGTACCGTTGATGTGCAGTGGTTGAATGTGCCCCATTATCTACAAAGCCATGCTGGTTCCCTGCTCTGTTCCACCCTATGCCTGCAGACTGCTTTTGAAGTGAAATTCAGTGCTGTCACGTTCTAGTTCTGATGCTGTGGCTGGGACCCCTGGAAAGAGCTGAGTTAATGAAGCTCCTGCACACAGGGGATGTATTCATAGCCTGTATTTGCACAGGGGCAAGGCCTGGAGCCCTGGTCCTCTTGCAGCCCACACAGTGAGTTCCAACGCTCAGCTTTCCAAGCACTTGGTGAAGGCTGAGGTTTGAGTGCAGGAGCTGCCTCTCTCCCCAGTAGATCCCTTCACCCCAGTGTGGTGCATGAGGGCAGCTCGCTACTCACAGCTCCTCCAGCCGCTGGCACCGGTGGAAACTGGGCAGGTCTTCGATGTGGTTGTGTGAGAGCTCCCTGCAGAGGAAGGACCAGCACAGCAGTGTGAAGAGATAGAACCGGAGCACCCCTGATCCCTTCCTTGGAAAGCTGGAGAGGGGGTGACCCGACTTCCATTTTGTACAGATGTAGGCAACAATAGCCCCTGGTGAGGGGGATCTCCACTCTGCACACACATGATGATTGCTCTTTGTGCAAGGCAAGGACTGGTGCAAGCCTCATGCCCCAGTAGTAGCTCTTACAGCCCCCATGCAAGATCTCTGCAGCAGGTCTGCAGAGTGGGGTGAGGAGCAGAGGGCCAGAGATGTGGCATTAACGGCATCATCTGTGTTCAGATGCATTAACGTGGGGGAGAGCAGTGAGAACCACCTCTGCGTGGACAGAAGACCAATGCATCTCAAAGGCAAGAGAGATGCAAACATGCACAAACCTTGGCCCGCATACTGTCCTGATTCTGAAAGCAGTGCAGTTAATGTCAGCAAAACTAAGTGGGAAAGAAGAATGAGGATAAAGGTGGGGTGTCCCAGTAAAGCTCTCCCACAAGGAGGGGCAGGCACGAAGAACAGGCTCTGCTGCACAGCTTTACACTCAGCTAACCTGCAAGCATGAACAGAGCGCCTGAGACCCTACAGCCTGGCCCATTCCAAAGGCTACACTTTCATGGCAAGATGGCCATTGAGTTGGTCCCAATGTCTAAAGATGAGAGATCTTCCCTGCAGGGACAGCTAGAGCCAAAATGCTGTGATCTGCAAAGTTCCAAACTGTGTTCTTTTATGTTTTCCTCTTGTTCCCAATTTCTGTGATCAAGAATTCGTTCCCGTTGCTTTCCTGGAACAAACTTGTTTTCATTTTCAGCTTGCTTGTATAAAAACTGATGAGAGGCAAGCCTCCTGCTTGCCCTAAGGCTGCAAACTTGTATAAATCTGGCTCATGACTCATTTCCTGAGGATTTCTCTGACTGCAGACAGAGTTGGGATCTCGGGAACGAGGGCTGTGACTCCTGGAAAGGCGCAGGAGTCTTTCTGTGTTGGGGATTTCATCATGCACCAAGTTAAGGAAAAAAACGCATCCCTCCACTCAGCATCATTCCTTGTTTTGCCAAGCAGGTAGAGCCAAAGCAACTTAAAGACTCCAAGCAAAACCCTGATCTGCCACGGCTGCACCATGTAAGTCCAGAGCATCACACAGGGATGAAGCAAGCAAGCTTCATGTAAAGCTCAAGGTAGTGCTTAAGAAAGTGGTGTTTTCTGCATGGGAAATGTAACAGGAATAAGAACCCCAGGGTAGGCTTCAAAGCTGGTCCCCTCCCTGAGCGAGACAAGAAGGAAGCTGGGTTTTCTGTTACTTACAGGACTCGGAGGCTGGGCAGCTGCTGACACATCCCTCTGGGGAGCAGGTGGATGCCTGCCCGGGTCAGGGTCCTACAGGAGAGGAGGAGAGAGAAGAGATGATGTTACTGAGAGCCAGCACACAGAGTCCCTCACCCATAAGCCCAGCTGCTGGTCCCAGGTGGTGGCGGGAGAGACGATATCAATGGGATAACGAAATACTGAGATAGAAACAAAACCCGGCTTGGAAACGGGCACTGCTGCTGGACCCGGTCAATGTGGCTACCAGAAATTCTGGGATGCTGCCACATGCAGAATTCACTGCTGTCCTTCACCACCTTGAGGCCAGGTGGCAGTGCCCTGTGTGGTGTGTTCTGCCATCCCAGTTCCCCATTGCCCAGACTGGTGATGTGCCTGGAGCCACAGAAACCTGTGCATGGGGGATGGATAACGTGTCCCTGTGCTCCCGAAGCAAAGCACAGCCAGATCATGCTCCTGGGCTGGGGTGCTCAGCTGTGCTCCCACACTGGGCACAGTGTGTGGATGAGTGCCCTAGAGAGGAGAACCAGGGGTGGCCACAGACCCCATTTCCTCCAGCTCCTGCTCTGCTGGGTCTGGTGGTGTGAGGATGAGACCAGAACAGTTGCAGAAGCCCCCAGCATGGGTGGCAGATGGTTTCTGCCCTGCCAGTGCTGGTCCCAGGCTGGGCAGACACGCTGGGTCTTGTCAGACCATGCTGGAGCCCTGCACCCAAAGGCTCCTTCCTTCACAGATGCAGAAGGGAAGGAAGAGAAATCAATAACTCAAACAAGGATTGGAGCACACTCAACAGTAGCGAGAGAGCAACTCACGGCAAGGAAAGCTGCTTTCAGGAGCCACAGGGGTGAAACGAAGCAGAGAGGTGAGTAACCAGGGAGAGGCAGAGCTGAAGACAACCAACTGCACAGCACTGTGAAAGTTGTCCTCGCTGAAACAGCCTGGACCGCCTTGATGGAGGAAGAGCACAAATAGCAGGGTAAAAGGGAGAGAGGTGCCACTCACAAAACTTCTAGGCTGGTGGTGCCCTTAAGGTCTGGGAATTCCCTGATGTCCGTCGCACCATTGAGTGACCTGCAGAGAAATGAGGTTGAAGTGAGCTGGACAGGACCCAGAAGCAAGTGCAGCTGCCCAAGGTCCCAGACCCATCAGCCGTGGGGGCAAATCTGCTTCCTCACACCCAAGTGTGGTGATCAGAGGCCCAGATACAAAGGTCCCCCTCTCATCAGTGTTTCACTGCTGGCTGGGTGGTGGAGCAGACGTCTCACACAGTGCACATGCAGTGAGCTGGAGCTGGGCATTTCTGTTCACAGGGGCTTGGCAAGCTCAGACCCTTCCCCAAACCACTGACAACCTTGGCATGATCCCTACTCAAGTTAAATAGAACCTCCCAAACAATGGGGGATGTAAGCAGAGCATCCCATGCAAGCGCCCTAAGCCTATGCATTTGGATCTAAAAAATGTGTGGGTATTGGAAGGATTTATTTGCCTGAGTGTGTTCCCGCAGTGAGAGGCTGTGTGAGGCTTATAAATAGAGATTCTGAGGTTTCCTCTGCCTCCGTATTTAGTGCTGTGCCACAAGAGGTTAGCTGAAAAGCCACCCAGGGCAGGACAGCCAGCATGGAGTGGTTGTGGTCCTGGAGCAGGCTTAGGGCCAAACGTATGGAGGAAAGCACTGGCACTGCTACCTGCCCTCTAAGATTATTTGTGCCATGGTGTCGGTGCTAAAGGACATGTTCCTCTGCTTCTCCATCTTGTGGAGGGAGGCAGATGCCTTCAGTGTCCTTGAATTTGAGCAGCTACACAACAGTGTGGGTTTTGCTTGAGCAGCATGTGACAGAAGTCGTGGCACTCATGCGTGTGGTCTTTGCTGGTGCTGATGCAGCCATGGAGACCCTAAATGACTCCAGTGCCTGTCAGCTGTGTTGGCAGGAGGAACGAAATGGTCCCTCCAAAGTGCCCTTCTCAAAATGATTCTTCTTCAGCAGAAAACATCTGCAGTGTCCACTCCTTGGCTCATTGCCTTGGGGCTGGCCAGAAGAGTGGCACCAGGGTCTTCTATTGGCACAAGGGCTCTAGACAAGAGGAAGGGAGAAGACCTCGAAGGTGTCGAGCTCACAGGGCTTGGGGCTTGAATGTGTTACCTCTCTGAGGACGTGCTTGATGAACTTACAGAGTGTGGAGCTTTGGCAAGTACTGGAAAGCAGACTGTCCAACAAACTGGATGGGATTGTCATAAAAATGGCTGTAAAGAAAATGGGTAACTGGTCAGATTCTGCTGCGCATGAAGAGAATATGCTATTACAGGTCAAGAGCCTTGGAGCACCCAGCATAGCAGCAACTATTGGCTATCCTTGTTTTCCAGATAGCCTCAGGCTCTTCCATTAGCCTGTTTTGGCTCAACATTGGTAAATCTGAGGTCTCCTGCTAGCCTGAAAGGGCTCTTTGGTGTCCTGCTGAACCCAAAGATGCAAAGCCCCCCTTCAACCCTGCCCTAGTGCCGTAACCCTATGATCACCACAACGACCTGCTGTCCCAGCTCCCCGACACATACAGATCCTGCTGGAACTGGCGAGCAGCTTTTCTAAACACAAGGAATAAACACAGGCACATGTCAACCAGGGCTCTGCAAATCCTGTTCCACACAGCAAGTTTCCATGCAGACCACCCATACATTGGTCCTTCATTGTTATCAGCCTGTGCTACAGCGAAGTTCAGCTGCGGAGAAAGGGGAACCCATGGCAAAAGTCCTGAGGCATAGCTGAGGAGGAGCTAATTTCAGCTTGCGTTGGCCCATATATAACAGATTGCGGTCATGCTGATGACTGTCAGGAATCCCAACCAAACTCCATCAGGAAATGCCCCTTTCTGGGGGATATAAGGATTTAGGAAACATTGTTTAATTATCTTACATTGTTTGGAGGAGAGGATTCCCAACAAATGCGTTCTCTGGAATAGCTTTGATGTTGTTGTTATGAAAACCGCTGTTGGGAGAAACAAATATCTCAATATTAATGAATGAGAAAGCCTTGGAGACACCTTGTTTCTTCAGTCATTTTAAAGTCTTCAAAACACATGGAAAATAGGATGTGTAGGCTCTGTTCCACATGTAGCATCATCCCAGCAAGTGAATAAGATCTGCCTTTTGGCAGGACAAAGCCCTTATTCTGCTGTATTTACTCGGTGTACAGCTTGGTGCTCTGTATGTAACTCACTGAACACACCAATATAGAGACTTAAGGTTTAATGCCTTACAGGTCAGGAAATAAAGGCAAATGAAATACACTTACTTCACACCCTCCAGGATCTATAATTTGGATGGAATGCTCTCCATTGTAGTTCCATAGCTGTTAACCAGAATGCAGCCTACCAGTGTCTACTTTGGCCAACAGTATTGGCCAAAAGGTATTTGTAGGTCTAGCTGTGACATCTGTGGTTAAGCATAGGGAAAATGCTATCAGCAAACTTCTGCAGCAGAAGAGAGCTCTATGGGCACAGCCTGATATTCTGTACCTCAAAACCAGCCAGGGAACCTTGTGCCTAAGACCAAGGCTGATGCCCAGGTTGTTTAATCCCATATGGCTGTTTGAAATTTGCCTCTTATTTAGTGGCAGGCATTTGAAAAGCCACCTCAAAGTGGATTAAGGATCTTATTCTCATTTTGAATGGCCCAGTAATGTTGATTCCTGGTCTGATCAGGGAAATTCCTGAGAATTCTCCCAGGAACAAAACGATCAGATAGACTTTGAGACCTTCAGATGTGACGGGAGGATGAAAAGCTGCAGGAGGAGCCTGCTGCAAACCTGATGGAGAGATCTACTATTTGCCTCCACCAGCCTGTTGCAGAGGCTGATGGTGGTGATGAGAGCTGATGGAAATTGCAGGGATAAACTACTTCTAAGTGCATGTCAGAGAGGGCTGGAAAAGCCAAAAGAAAGCCTTGGATCGAGTGCTCTCCTCTGGTCAGAGCACACGCGGTGCTTTTGAAGAGGAATAAATAGGAAATCTCACAGCTCCTGCAGTCGTCCCAGTGTCCTGATAGCCCCAGGGAATTCCAGCAGCTCATTGTAGTTCAGGTCCCTGAAAGACAGAGAAAGGAAAAACATTCATTAATGTTGCTGTAGGAACTCAACCGAGTGTATCTGTGCTTTGAAGGAATGGAAACTTGGTTGTTAAGCATGGGAGCCAGGTTTTTCCTACTGTGCTGATCCAGACGGTGCCTGGAAACAAAATCTCACCCATCTCTGCAGCAGGAATATTCCCTGCTAGGAGCACAGGGAGGTGAGAGCCTGTCCAAGCCATGGTTGGACTCTTTCTCCCCAAGTCCCTCCTTGCCCATTGCTGTGCTGTTGCTTCACCTCTTCAGAGTGCTCCATCCCCACTCCCTCAGGGGCTTTGCTTTGAGTCATTTTTCCTGCTTTTCCAGGTCAAAATGAGGCTTTATGAAGGACAAGAATGTGGGCCCCATGAAAGGGCTTCTCTGGACAGCCTTGCCCTGCAGTGCAGTGGGGACATGGGACCATTCCCTTGGTGTTTGTCCTGGGGACGCCAGATCCCTGGGACATGCTGTGACTGGAACCAGTGGGAAGAGCAGGCTATGGGAAGGCCTAGGTCTTTGTTTGATGGTTGGGGTGAACCCTGCAATGGAAACCATAAGCTAAATGTGGAAGAAGTGTACAAGAGGTATTGACACTGTTGAGCATTAAGTTTAATTTGCAGTATAATAAATTAATCAAAATAAAATATGTTGGTCATAATGACAAGCCTGGCATTTATTTGCTCTGACCTGGCAACCAGAAGAGACGTTTGAGCCCAAATGAAACTTCATGAGCTACATTTGTTCTCCAAGGATGGGCTGGTACCTCTGGAAAAGGGTTTATGTGAGCTATGGGGCACTGCTGGCAGCATGGGAGCAGCAGTCCTCTGAAGGCACTGATCCTGTTGTTGACTAGAGGGGGGCCATGGAGACTGGCTGGGCTTTAGATGTATGCCAGTCCTCCTCTAGCATACCCAATGCTCTCCTTTGGAAGGCAGTTCCAGCTGCAATGGTAACGCTGGCCCTGTCCTGGCCATCCCACAGACCAAGACACTGCAAACCCAAGCGACTGCTTCCTACCTGCAAGACACTCGCTGAGTTTTAAGTGGTAGATACTTTGGAACTTGAATGTAATTACTGGCTCCTGGAGATTACTGTATAATTACACTTAATGGACCTCAAAGTAATTACCATGTAACCTGGATTGTGGTTTACGGAACAGAAATAACCATGTATTTACACAGCAGTGAGGTGCTGCCCAATTACCTTGTAATTCTCATCCTCTGGGCCCAGCCATGGTAATTACACTATGGTCTCTCTTGCCCACCCTCCCTCCCACCTCTACGTAGTCCTCTCCTTTACCAGGGTTCCTGCTTGGGGATTACTCTACTGCACCATCTTGGCTTTGCCCTGTAGGTATTTGCACAGTAAATGAACCAAGTGAGTCTCTCCATATCGGCCTTCCCTTGCGCCTTCCAAGACTCCAGCCCTATGTGACTTATATCCTAGGGAATACTTATCAGGTAATTACAAAGTAGGTGACAAAACCAGAAGAAAAGCATGGAATGAGGTTGTCTGGGGTGGATTTTATCTTGCGTAGCCCTGACAAGGTCCGTATCAGATCTTGTTACTGGATTCCCTTTGCAGCCCAGGGGATGTGGCAGGTCCTGCTGTGGACCCCCACCCCAAGGGCTATTTAATCTCCTCCAGTTCCAGAGGGAGTCTGGCTGCCTGCACTGAGTGTATTAGAGCGGATGGACCCTGCTCCTGTAGGATCTCAAGGTCTGGAAAGGGTTCACATAGTGTGACAATTGCCAGTGCTGCCCATCAGCAGGGCTGGTGACAAGACCACAAGCTCTCCACCATGTCCAACCTGCAAAGCAGTGACAGAGTGCTGGGATGTGAAGCTGTTGTGCGTGTCCCCAAGGCCCAGGAGTGAAACAGGAGCAACGCATCCCCTCCTCATGCCAACTCCCATCTATTAGATAGGAGAGCTCTACATCTTCTGAAGAGCTTGCTCTGACACAGTTCTCATCTGGGTCCAAGCAGATCACTGATTTTTCCCAGTCTTCTCTGCTTGAGCCCAAAATGATCTGTTAAAGAATAAATAGCCTGACACATGACTGCTCATACACCTCACTCTTTGTGAGGTGGATGTAGCTTGTTATCAGCTACTTGGATGCTCTTAGCCAGTTTCTGTCTGTGGTACCTCTCAGGCGTCCATCACTGTCACAGCTGAGGCTCTGTTATGCAGGGGAAGAAGGGGCAGGACTTTAACAATGCACATCCCCTCGCTGAAGCTCAGGGAGGTTCAGGAGTGCATTTCCAACGCGAATGAGTGATTAGAAGTGCAGACAGGGCAGTGCTGGGCAGTTTGAAAGCATCAGTTAAATCCCATTAACCTTCAGATCACTGTATGAAATCAGAAGGCGTTAGCAGCCTCAGCTGGCTGACAGCCCCAAATCTCTATCTGTGCATAAGGTGTTTAATACCTTTAAAAGTCTCACCCTGCAGTGGCTTCCCAGGGTTACAGTGAGGTTTCTCAGCATTGCAGGAAGCCACAGGGGTCATTCAGGGCTGGGTGTCTGCCTGTGCCCCTTCCCTCCCTTGTATCCCAAACCGAGAGCCTGGGATAAGCATCTGTGATGCCAAGGGACAGACCCTGGGGATGCTCAGCCCAGTGCCATTGTGGTGCCGATGCTGGGGATGCTTTGTGCGGGGCTGAGTTTCTCCCCAGCGATACCTGACGTGTCTGCGAGCAGCCGACAGACGGAAAGTATTGCCCAAGAGAGGCTTGGCTGCGCTGTGATTCACCGCCAGAAAAAGGGATCTGAGATCTGGAAGCACTGTTATTTACAGGGAACGATTCCGTGTGCTGCAATATTTGCTCCTGTCTCTCTCTAAACCTGCGTTTCCTTTCCAGCCCGTGGCTCTTCCAGGCAGGCTGCTCTTTCATCAGCAGATGAACACTGTGTTTGTGCCTCCATGTGTGTGCAAGTAGGTACAGGACCAGTGTTTCCTGAGTGAAGACACACCTTTCCCAGCCCTGGCAGCATCTCTGTGCC